GAAGTGCTCAACAGGCTCCACACATCTACTGCAATAATGAAACAATTTTAAATGAAATATTACAAAATTATTAACAGATTTGGTTATGAGTTGGATGTCTGAGGAAGTTGAACCCTACTGTTCCAGTCAATCTCTCAACTCAACTTTCACCGCATTTTAGCTGAACTGATTTTCCACATAGGGAAATACCCGCAGATTTCAAGGATTGCTTCTTATGTGTTGTATTGGGTGATTGATTACGGGTCTTTCCCATAGGGGTGACCCATAAAACATCATCACCCAGGGAGAGTCTAATGGTGGTAAATCTAAAAATAATTTTCCTTGGAATAAAAGTGCAACTAAGTCATTTGACGACACTAAATCACTGCAACAAACAAAAATAATACATGTGTTTTAAATAAATAAATAAATGAAGGTGAATTTCTGAAATAAAAAAAACTTTTACGAAACATCTTTAAAGAACTCCGCACTTCCCTATATCTTAATTTCCCAGATCATAAATTCCTATAAATTCAATATTTATTTGATTTCATAATTAGATATATCTCAGGTGATATTTCAGATAAGCTTTCAATGCCTCATATTTCTGCCAGGTGATTGCACACCTTTAACGAGTTTACCTGTAAGTACCAACTTGTAGCTAGCTGGCTGTCAGGTGTAAATGATGTGGATCAAGGTAGGCACCCAGCATCCCTGCTACATCACTCTTAGATGTATTCTATTGCTTAAAGGATTAAACTGTTTCTATTTGCTGATAGGTTGGGGCACCCCAGAATAATGAGCTACTTGGTGTATAGGTTGGGGCAAATTTGTGTAGGGCACACAGGAAACATTGTAAAGCGTAAAATGAGTTTTTCAATCGATGTCTTAATGCATTGCCTTACTTTTCATCAAAATTTAATACCATGTTTGATGACCACTTTAACAGCCTCAACATCTAAATAGTTATGAATGAATTAATTTGAATGATGGTTTTATTTTGTCAATAGTCAAAGAACCAAGTCAATGTTTAGGGGAGGGGTGAATAAAGACTCTGCAAGAAAAATGTTGATTTTCTAGTGAAGCTTAATTAAACGACAAATCAACATTTTTAACAATATAACAATATGTCATCACTTGTGGTGGTGACATAAAAGTAGATAACTTAAAACACAAAATTACTTGTGGACAATAGAAGCCACCACAGACACAGGTACCTCTCAGGTAAATCTACCTGTAATTGCAGTAGCCTACTGGCAATTAATATGATAGCTGCATCAGTATATCTCTGAGTCTGCAGGGATTACCTGACTGCTGCATGGGGTACGCCTACATTAATTGCAATTACCTGGCTAATGTCAGCTTTAGTGGCAAATAAAATGCCAGAAACATGATCATGTATGTCTGCAGTGACATATCAAATATATTTTGGGGCTTGCGATTAAACTGTTTAGCTACATTTATGGCACTGAATGTTCTTCATTGGCTATATCACCCCCCCTCCCCCCCGCCCCCCTAGTGATTGGTACAAACACATTTTCTCCCCGAAAATATGAAATTTTTGTGATCAGATAGTGCACTTCCTGAGTGTAGACCATTTTGGATTATCATAATAAACAAACTGGCACTAATGACTGATACAATCAGGTATTAGATTCGATTATGAGAAAAGTAAACACATTTATTTACAAGCATAAAATCAACAATCGTGTTGTGATACTGCCAGTCTGTCAGATTTAAGATACAAGTACATGTTAAATTACATTATTATCTGAAGATTACCAATTAACCAATGGATTCATTTCTGACACTTCACCTCCTCCCATTTTCTCTAAATTCACTGGTAGCCCAATGGAGAATAAGGAATGTAAATTAACTATTAGCTAGGTAGGCAATCAATGGTAAACACTGGGCCAGATATTTTCATACACTAGGGGGTCAGCATGGGAAAATACACCAGAAATCAATTAAATGTCACAAAATAAAATGTAGGTTTTATAATTAGAATACCATTGTAATCATTTCAAGCTCAAATATGTGTCTTTGAAGAAGTAAGTAATAAAAACTGATATTTATCACAATGGTGGCGATTAGATTTCATTTTAGATTTGAGGAATGACTTTTCCAATATTCAATTTACTGCAATGCAATCAATACCTTTCCAGGAAAAAAAACAAAAGACAATACTGGTTAGAATATCCACCTCACTGTGTGAGAAACTAATGGCATAAAAAAATTTCCCAACTTTTCCAGATGGTCTTTCGAGGCCCCTAGATTTCCCAGTAAAGCAACAGCATGGAAACATCTGGAAAAATTGAAAAGTCCAGTAAAATTATATTCCCCTTAAGTCTAAATGTTTACAGAAAACACATGAGAATTAAAACAGCTGATGTTCTACTTATGTGAGGTTCTAAAAAATGATGCATTGACTAATGACTACTGACCAATCTATGCAACCTGTCTATGAAGTATTGCAGTGTTTAAGTGTCATATTGTTTTTAACTCAAAATATATTAGAAAAGAGGAATTTGGCCAAAATACAATAACATAATAATGAAATTTGACTTTATTCGGACAAAATCAACATTTTGTGTATAACATTAAAGCAGGAGGCATGCCATTTTAAAAGAATTATTTCTGCATGTTGTACTTTGTTGATAAGAATAACTCAATTTGTTTCCTCAAGGGGGCAGCACCTTACAGGGACAGATGACGTAAAAGATTCTGAAGAACTAACATCTTTTTAGTTTTTATTAAATACAGTCTGGAGATGGTAACTGTATCCAAATCCAACGATAAAAAAAAAAATATGTAAAATATTATGCAAAGTGAGAGCCCTATGCATTGTTCAAACAATACAAAAACAATCAATGATTTTCTATCAAAATTGCACGTGTAAGAATTGACCGATAGGTCAAGTCACCCCCCTTTGTATTGACACAATGTATTGACCTTGTCCAAAATGCAAACAATCAAGCAATTTAATCATAATTTTTTGATATGTCAATTCAGGTCAGATTGTCTTATCCCAATGCAACCACTCGAAATATGACAGAGTAGCCTCTCGCATGTTTAACATTGGGAGATTACACGTTAATAAAACTATTGATGATGACTCATAGTGTTTTATGTTCTTAACGTCAAGATTAGACTTCAAGGCTACATACAGGTATTCTGCGCCAATATGAAAAAATTATACAATTACGGACAAACGTTAGCTCACCATATGTTTGGTATTATTGGGATTATTTGGTTAATTTTTATATGATACCTGCATACAACTTTCTTGTATATTTATGCAGATTGCTTTCATATTAATTGTTTGCATTGCCTGCTTCCTGCATATTATACAGTATTAGACATTGATAGCTCTGTATTATTGCGTGGTATTATTCACTAGTTTGTTTAACAATTGCTTAGTATAACTTGATTGTTTAACAATTGTTTGGTAAAACTTGATTGTTTAACAATTGTTTGGTATAACTTGATTGTTTAACAATATTGTTTGGTAAAACTTGATTGTTTAACAATTCTTTGGTAAAATTTGATTGTTTAAAAATTGTTTGGTTCAACCTGATTGTTTAAAAATTGTTTGGAACAACTCGTTTGTTTATCAACAGTTTGTGGATGTTTCATCTTTTATCTAACTTCCAATTCAAACTTATCAAGAACTCAATCTAAAAACCTAAAATAGTAATTATATTGAGAATATACCATCCCTAAATAAAATGAACTCCATGTCCCCTCATTACCAGTCAATACTTATAGAGAAAAGGATTAGAAATACAGATTGATGAGATGAATATAATAACATCAATTAAGAATACAATAACAATCATTTTAATCCATTATGGTTCAATCATTTTTGAAATTGCAATTCATTATTTATAGTCTTGTTATTATTTGGAAAGAGATTAAGCTATCATTGAACATGTTCCCAAAATAATATAATTGGAATGTACTATAATAACCTATTATAAAGTATGTACTATAATAACCTATTAATAACTATGCCAATACAAAGGGCAACATTTTCACAAAAAGTACAAAAAATGAACAAGGGGCAAAATTAGTAAACTCTAGTCCTGTGATGTCAACTCAACCATCATGTCTGAAATTCAAGTGCTAATGAAAAAGGTATAATATCCTAAGACTATTTCTCCTTTATTTGCAAAGACCATTACATTATCCATGTAATTTGACATTGTCAAACATTGGCTATAAATCTATAACATCAAGGTTCTGAACTGAAACAAGGTCCTCATACTATTAATAGATTTTACAGATATGCAAATATTTGAAGGAGAAACTTACTTTGTGATACTACTTCAAGGTTCCTTCAAAATATTTGCTGAGGTTCAAACACATTTAGAGATGTTGTAGTATTGAATCAGTGTTTGTACTGAATTTGCCACTAGATGTCAGCACCTGACAGGGCATTGTTATCATTATTCAGCCAATAAGTGATTATTTGAAGGTTATTTAGCATCCTTAGTCATTGGTTTCACTAGAATCTCTCACAACAGGCTGAATAAATGAAAACAATAGGCAAAAGTAATGGAAATCATTAACATGGAAAAGTTGAAGTCACTAAAAACAACAGGCGATTTTGTGAAAACAACCGGTGAAAATCGCCTGTTGCCTGTTTACTAATGAAACCCCTGGTTAGTTAACTGAATCGAACAAAAGCTATGAAGGATTTTGATGAAGGATGGTCACAAAAAGGATCAGTATGTTTATTAAAGTATCCTTCTAGTTTTCATTCAAAATAAACATCCATAACTAATGCAGGACATGAATACTGCTATGCATTGAATCGTTTGTATATAGATTTGTTTTCATAATATACATGATGTACATGTAGTCAGAAATGTATCATATCAAAAAAAATTGTATTGTACAATCTCAAATGTACATGTATTAGGTACAACTGGATTTTCAACTTGGTCAGTGGTAATAGTTAAGATGTTTCAATACAAAACATTGGGGAGATCAAAGTAGGGAAGAAGTTTGATACTTACTGGTATCTTGAAAGACTCTGCAAGATACTTCAAAATTGCTGCTTCCTGAGCTAAAAGGTTTGTTCGCTGGGTGATATTTTTTGTACCCTTTGTGTCAAATTCCTTGCGGACCAAAGATGCTACAGAATCCAGTACGATGAGTTTGATGCCCTTAGATATGATGTCTTCCTCTAAATTTTGTAACCTAGGAGAAATGGTAAATTCTTACAAACATACAAGTCAAATGTAAATGAAATAAAAATGAATATGCAAGTATTGGTTTGTACTGTATATGCAACATATAATTCAACCTTCGACTAATGCTGCCATCTTTTAAAATGATACTTTGCTAAAATGGTAAAGCAGCAAAGGTGAATAAAGATAGATATTAATGGATTAATAATTGTGTAAGAGTGTTGGGACATTACAACAAGTGAATTCTTGGAGCCTTTATCCCCATTTGTCATGTACAGCTTGGAAAAAATTGGAAAAATCTTAATTCTTAGTTAAAGGAGGAATTAAAAATGGGTAAACTCACCCACATAAACATATTACTGAATTCTCCACACCATCTAAATCTAGTGAAGAGCTATAAAATACCTTTTAAATAAACTGCTACATGTCGATTCCAAGTACACATGCACTCGAGTTGCAACTTTCAGGATGGACTCCTCATTGTTAATCAAATCAGGAAATCTACATTGTGCCATTTCTGCTAACCTCTCTGCACTAAAAGCTGATTCTGTGTCAATATAGATGACACCACCATCAAGGCCGCCATTTTGTATTGGAAGAGTAGCAAGGAGGGATAGCATTATCGAGAACTGAGTTTTTCCGCAACCTGAGGGTCCAGCAATCTGAAAAGATTATATGATGTGTACTTTAAATATATATCATAATTTACACCCCAGACCTCATGTTATATTTGAATACAAAAATGGAAGAATAAATACATTATCCATTATATTGCATTTTGGTTACCACCATATATTCACAACCAAAACCTCATTCATATATATATTCTGTATATAGCTCTAGAGACAGAGAAAGAAACCCTCCTTTGGAGAAATACTGTGTTCTTTTATGTGCACTGGTACGCAGACATAGTACACAACACAACCTTTTTATAAGAGTTGTAGATCACTCAAACACTCACATTTACACAATGCACAAACAAATTTGTATGAACTGGGAATCAAACCTGGGGCCAAGTGAAAGTGGTAACTTTGGCTCTTGCAACGAACCATAGCATTTGACTAAACTACAGGGAATAACATTCCAACACATACCTCAGTGATGGTTCCTGCTGGCAGGCCACCATGTAAGACTCTATCAAGCTGATCAAGGCCAAGAGGGAAGAAATCTATGAAGTCATCTTTCTTCCCTGGTATAAGATCTCTTGCCTGTATGTAACAATAAAAAAGTATGTTGGATTTTAACACATGATAGAGTATGTTCTCATAGTTTTATCCCATATGCTTTACCTTGTACTTGTACTTGTTGATTCTACAATTGAATCATGGTTTATGAATCAAGAGACTTTTCCCTTGCAGCCTTTGCTTCATTTACATAACTTTTTTCCAAAAAAATAAAGGCCAATAAAGTAAGGAAATGTTACTTTTTACAATATTGCATCTTTTTAAGATAACTGATTCATCAAATATTTACTATATCTAATATATACTGTTACAGTAGTGTTGTCGCGATTTATCGATACATCGCGCATCAAAGTCTGAAACAAAACATCGATGTTTTTAAAAAATTTTAATTTGCTAAAAATCGCCCTTTCTTATCTTATTTTGACACAAATTGCTTACCTTTTTTCATGTCTTATTTCATTTTCAAATGTTTTCTGATATTCTTTCGCTTTAAAACTGTTTTAGCTAGTCGAAATGAACCACTAATCTAAAAAAATTACTTTACTTTCATTTCACCGTTACTATGTTCCCGGATGTACCAGCGTACTCTTATTAATTTGTTCTGTTCGATATTTTAGTGCATTAGCGTTCAGTATTTCAGTGCACTTTCTCGAACTTTTTCTCGATGTACATCGCGATGTGCATCGATGTTTACTACTGAAAATTGCCGATGCATCGATGTACGATTATGGCACATCGCGACAACACTGCTGTACAGTACATGTACTCTGCTACCAGATAGTGTTCACTCACAGTACAGTATTGCATCTTTGTAAGATAAGTGATTCATTATTGTACATTTATATACTATGTATACTACTTCCAAATAGTGTTCACTCACAGTGCATGGCTTTGGAACAACCGCATGGCTGACTTTCTCCATCACTCGCTGAACCTCAACATCACTGATGTTCAACATTCTCAAGAGTTCGAGTCTCGTCTTTGATAACACATCCTGAAATATTGATGTTGTTAGTCTTGCGTAAAGGACGGAGAATTTGCAGTGAAGCAATTATGAAAGCCACACTTCAAACTCGACCTGAACACCTGAACTAAGCGTACCTGCGCTGGTTAGTAAAAAGGTTTTGTTTTGGATGAAATGAATCTCAATATTTCACAAATAGCCGAGTTGCATAGTGATTTCTGTTATTCAATCTGTTTGGTACGGTAGTCTGATAAAACAAGATCTGGGATTCTATTCACTTCTCACCTTGCAAGTTTGCAAATTCTGCCTGTTGAATTTGTCTTTTAATTGTTGACTAAAACCCAGTCTCTTCAATCGTTTGCTAGCCATATCGATTCTATAAAAAATCTTCGTTGCTAAAAGTGTCAATACTAACATAGATTCAGCTGCAAAACGACTTGTTCACAGATTTATTGCGCAGAAAAAGTTTTAAACTTTTTTAAGAAAATCATGGCGGCCTTTGCTTATAGTCTCAAAACCTATGCATTTAATATTGATATAATAGCCTTTATCATGAATATTGTTCAATGTTCAACATTGTATTTGATCAAATATTATTTATTTTAGTCGGAATTATAATAATTTGGTGATTTTATTTGTCTTTATGATAAGTTTTATATTTTCGTTTTTGTCTAATTGACCTTGAGATAAACAAACTTTAAAACTTTATTTGAGGCCGTTCTACTTTTAATCTCAAATTATGAGTACCAACGAGAAGCCAGTGTTCTACAACGTTGATAAATGGATAGATGAAAACAAGAAGTTCTTTTTGCCACCAGTTTGCAACAAGATGATGTTAGTGAAGTTTGAAATTTCATGATTTCTTTAATTCAATAATTTTGCCCTGATTTTTAATTTTGTGTGCTTTGACATGTCTATGTCTATGTCAATAATCCGCAAAAGGCTAATAAGCCCATATAAAGCAGATATATAATTTAACAGTGATAGAATTTGAATAGAATATAATTTAAAACCTTAACATTTAAAAATAGATCTATGGTTTACAACTCATTTTACCTGGGGAGACTGTCAGGCTAACCGCGTTGACATCACCCCTCTTTACCAGTAGTGCAGGCTTGTTGCTGTGCACTGGGGACCCTTTACATTAAAACATAGATCTATATTAAAAACACACCTATTTAATTGCAGTTATTGACATAGGCATAGTATGATGATTTAAAACTACTTAGACTGTCACAGTCTAAGATGTCACCAGGTAGAGTGTTCCATTTAGCTATTGTCCTAGGGAAATAGCTAAATTTGTATGCATCCGTTCTAGTTGATGGTTGTATGAACTTAGAAGGATGATACAACCTAGTGTTGGTATTGATCTGTTGGCGGAAGTATGGAGGCACGTCGATGGCTGCTAGGTTCTGCTTTCCTTTGTAGAAAAGGAAAACTCTAGCAGCCTCTCGACGCTCCTTCAGTGGCTCCCACTGTAGGTCTTGAAGAGCTTTGGTGACGCAGCCTGGTTCCCTTGAGTGACATTTGGTTACAAACCTGGCTGCTCTTCTCTGTACCTGTTCCAACATATCAATATCTTTTTGTCGGTACGGATCCCATGCCGAGCTGGCATACTCTAAATTAGGCCGGACTAGTGACTTATACGCCTGAGCCTTCACTTTTTCAGGGCATTGATGGAGGTTGCGCCTGAGAAATCCAAGCACCTTATTGGCTTTGGATACAATAGTTTGAATATGTGTAGTCCAGCGTAAGTTATTTGTGATGTCAATTCCTAGGTATGGGATGTGTGTTACCGACTTAAGGTTTTCCCCTAGCATGGTGTAATTGTGCATGATAGGGGATTTACCTTTGTGAATATTTAGCACATAGCATTTTGATGGATGGAGTTTCATTTGCCATGTTGATGCCCAGGAGACCAGTTTATCAAGATTCTCCTGTAGTGTTAATGCATCTTGCTTGCTTTCGACTGTCATGAATAAAAGGCTGTCATCGGCAAAAAGCTTAAGACTGGCTGAGGATGATAGGTTATTGCCCATATCATTGATATAAACAAGGAAACAGAGTGGTCCAAGAACTGTTCCTTGAGGAACTCCTGATTTTACTGGAGTTTTTGAACTTGATTCACCATCGAGCACTACCTGTTGTGATCTTCCCACAAGCCAGGATCTGAACCAGTTCAAGTTATTATTGCGAATTCCATAATAGTCGAGTTTGAGCAAGAGGCGTTCGTGAGCCACCGTGTCAAACGCTTTGGAAAAGTCTAATACCAACATGTCTGTTTGTTTATTGTTGTCGAGGGCCCGAGCTATATTCTCTATTGTATTGACAAGTTGTGTTTCACATGAGTGCTTTGACCTGAATCCATGTTGGAATTTTACTAGAATTTCATAGAGGTCAAAGTGGGCCATAACATGATGGAATATAATATGTTCCATTATTTTACATGGAACTGACGTCAGAGATACAGGCCTGTAATTCACAGCCTCATCTCTTCGTCCCTTTTTGTAGATAGCAGTAACATTGGCATGTTTCCAGTCCATAGGCACTAAGCCTTCATCGATAGACTGTTGAAAAATTATTTGAAGGAATGGTGATATGCTGTCACTGCATTCCTTCAGGACCCTAGTCGGAATAAGATCGGGTCCAGTGGCTTTTGATGGATTTAGGCCAGTTAGCAATTTGTGAATTCCTTTTGTCGAAATTTTGATATTTGGCATTTCAGGAATTTGACTAGGTACCATTGTCGGTAGAGTGGCATCCTCATCTGTGAATACAGAATTGTATTGGTCATTGAGGATGTTTGCTTTCTGGGCGGCGTCTGTTATTTCGTCGCCATCTTTGTTACGCAGCACGCTGATACCTGATACATCTTTGCGTTTAGACTTTATGTAGCTCCAGAAGCGTTTGGTAATGCCTTTGTGCTGAACATTCTCATTTATGATTTCGCTTTCATCAATGTCAAGCAGATCGTTGATGTAGCGCTGATGTTCTTTACGAATTTCACTATGGATTAATTTCCGTAGTGATTTGTATTTATGCCAATGATGAGGTTCATTTGAACGTTTGGCAACATTATATCGTCTTTGTTTCTGTCGGATCATTCTCAGTATTCTGGTGGTAATCCAGGGTACTTTGAATTTCCCGCTTAGAGTTTTACTTGGAATATGCTCATTGATTGACGATATTAATGTAGATTTGAAGGAGGACCAGTTGTCTTCAACTGATCTACTTTCACAGTTCTCTTTGAATTCGCTGAACTTACGAAACATGTTTACATTTTTAAAATATTAGCATATTGCGTGATTTGCGTGATATTTTATCATACATGCTAAATTGATGCATGATTTCTATTTTTCCAGCAAATGCGTGACAATCATGTCTAATGCTTGAGGGTTGACAGGGCTGCATGTTGTGAAATGAATGAATTTAGGAATGTCTGGTGCATTTTGTTGTATAACGTTCCCTTCTTCTAAGGCCACTATATTGTCCAAAGATAAATCCCCTATTTTCAACATTTTTCCACATCACAATTTGAATTTCGAGTTTTGGTCTTATTACCGCACCAAAAATTCTAAAACACACATGAAGTGATCAATGTATTAGTTCACATCTTCTGGATCGCTAACTTAGAATTTACAGCCAGTTACTAATGTCCAAAAAGGCAGAAATTCTTGAAATAAAAGGGAATGTGAAAACAGCTTAGGCGAATTGATAAAATTCTTGAAATGGCGAAACAGGCTCAAGCAGCGAAACAGTTATTTCATTTTTCAAGAAGTATCAATTGAAATGGTTGAAACGGTTTCGCCCCGGCGAAATTCGTGAACTTCCAGTTGAAAGTGTGATCCTCTACTGATTGAGTTATCAAGCTGAGCTGTAGTACCCCTTACCCCTGTGGCACCATTCGTATCTAACTAATGTTTTCATCAGATACAAGAATTAACATTTAAAAGATAAAATGGAATGCCCCAAGACACTGCTCACAACCCCCAGGTATTGTCTGAGACCCTCCGCCCAAATCCCGGGCCCAAATCCCATCTGATAAACTATTGGTTCACTCAAACAATAAAATTGAATACAAATGGTAAAACTTTCTGGGGGAAAGGGACAGGCCTCTGGCAACACTCCCCCTCCAAATATCCCACTATCAAATGTGCCCTCTCCAACCCATGTAACCAACAAGAATTGGCCACTATAAAGAATGCACTACCAGCTGCTAAAACATTATTGAATATTTCTCCAGGCCAGGATTAGCCATATATTTGAGTAATGAGGTAATAAAAATGCTATATTGTAACAGGAAAATCTCTAAGAATGTTAAAAAATATAAACAATATTCTGTAAAACCTATCTAATCCGAACGCCAATGAGACCAGCTGAAAGCATTTGGATTAGGAGGTGTTCAGATTTTTGAATATGATTATGAGGGTTCACTTCAAATTAGGAGATGTTCAGATTTCAAGGTTTTTTAACATGGGACTCCATTGGAAGAAACAGGACTGGAAACAAGTGTTCAGATTGGAAGGTGTTCAGTTTAACTAGGTGTTTTGATATACAGGTTTCACTGTAAATTAAATACAGATGTAGTTTCCTTCTTCTGCAGGCATCAGGTTGGCCAGATGAAGGCATTCTTTGTTGGTGGTCCTAACCAGCGGAAAGATTATCATATCGAGGCTGGGGAAGAGGTTAGTAAAACATAATGAGAACCCATAATTTCAACAATAATGCAAAATTTGTGAATTAGGAAATGTGCCTATATTTAAATACTATAGTACTATTTATTGTCGAGTTCTCACTTTAACATTAATTTATAATTTCAAAACATACCCAAAACATTTTCCAAGGACATTTGTACAAAGATGTCTCACTTGCATGCATGGTGCTTTGTCTTCCAGTTGTTCTACATGTTAAAGGGAGATATGTATTTTGTCTTCTAGTTGTTCTACATGTTAAAGGGAGATATGTATTTTGTCTTCCAGTTAATCTACATGTTAAAGGGAGATATGTATTTTCTCTTCCAGTTATTCTGCATGTTAAAGGGAGATATGTATTTTCTCTTCCAGTTGTTCTACATGTTTAAGGGAGATATGTATTTTCTCTTCCAGTTGTTCTACATGTTTAAGGGAGATATGTATTTTGTCTTCCAGTTGTTCTACACGTTTAAGGGAGATATGTATTTTGTCTTCCAGTTGTTCTACATGTTAAAAGGAGATATGTGCCTCAAAGTAGTAGAGAACAACAAACATCGGGATGTACATATCAAAGAAGGGGAGGTATGTTACGTGTTGTGTGTTGGTTTTATCATCCCATTGAATGAAGTTCGGCGAGATATAGAGAATATATAGGCAATAACTCAAATTCTGTGACCAAGTATCATTTATATTTAATAATAACACATAATACACATAATGTCTATATATATGGTTCAACTTATGTTTGAAAATTTGCCGCCATTTTTCAATGATCTCATTCAACACATGAATCAATCTTATAAACTTGTACTGTTGACGTCGTGATCTTCTTGTAGTTTTGTTGTTCTTCCATTCACCACATTTGTTCTTAAACTGAAGTTCACATTTGTACCCAGACTGCCCTTCATACCTGTCATGTACTTACTTCTTATCCCATTCAACACATACTTTGTTTTTCCATTCACTACATTTGTTCTCACACTGTAATTCAATGTACGCTGACCGCTCTTCTTAAATGTCAAACACTTACTTTTAATCTCATATAACACAGCCTTGGTACATACACTGGTGATAAAAATGAAAACACCCTGGCTCGCATTTAACACAATGAACACATAAATAATGGCCTCATTATGCACAAAAGGCGCAATGAATCCAAAGATCCATGTAAAACCCATAATGATAAAGAGCTTGATATAGACATCTAAATGGAAATTGTTTCCATTGGAGACCATTTTTGTTTGTTTCCATGTTGACTTTAGTGAGAATACAGTTAATATGTACATAATTGTGTTGAACACAATCATAACTCCTAATGGGCAGGCAAAGAACAGTAATGTAGCATATGGATTGCTCATTTGACATGTTTGGACATTTGCATCCATGTTTGATGCACGTGACTCTAAGTTTGGCGTACTTGGTACTGGTTTTACTGTACCAAACTCTGAGTCTGCTGAGTCAGACACTGAATTACCATAAAAAGGCTTGAACCTTGTGCCATGATCCAATGTAACTGCCACAGATATTATGATTACTGGTAGGAACATTGCTATAAACACATAGAGAAGAATTCTTTTCCATCCTTTAGAGTTACGAAGAGTTGACCTAAATGTCAAATACATGTCTAGGGCAATAATTGCCATCCATGTGAAAGATACCAAGAAGAAGTAGTGAATCAGGATCCCAATAGCTTTACAAAGGCTTGGTACATCCATCACCAAAGGGCCAATCAGATACAAAATATGGGAAACACACAATGAGGATACAAAACAAAACTGGATTTTACCAGCGAATGAGTGATAGATGCTGATAAATGTTTGGAAGATGAGACGAATCAACATGGATATGATTGAGAGTGTCAAACATATTATAGTGACCAACCCCATTATTTCCGTAGACTGAAGGCCAACCTTTTTGACCCGATTTTGTGTCTGATTCAGGAATGTACCATTCAACCAATCATAACATGTTACAAAATTGACCAAATCTATGCAAATAGTCAGTGTGTCAAAATCAGAGTCTTTATCTCCTGATGAAGAATGTTCTTCCTTCGTAGAGTTTATTATGGCATCCACAGTTTCATTGTGAAATTCATGCAAGGTTAAGTTTGTTGTAATTGGGAGCTTCACCTTGAACTTAGCAACAAACACTCCATTTAGTCTCTTATCATCTGTGTCATAGTCTTTTGAGAAGCTATATGATATGTTCCCTACAAGTCTTCTGGTGAGTGTTTCTGAAGCATCTAATGCAAATGACAAATCAGAGATGAACTCACTACTGGTGTCTATAATTGACTGCACTTCTCCAAGAACAGTGTATTCGAATGATGCTGTAAGAGGTTCCATGTTGTACATGAAAACACATTTATCATTTTGTAATTCATATCCAGCAGTACATGCATCATTACAGTTAGTAAGTTTATCACAACGGAATGATCTCTTTTTACCTTTGATGTGATATTCAACTGTAAGTTCTCTGTCTGGATTGATATTCATCACCAAGGAAAATGAAAAACTCGGGAATATTGGCATATAAGAACCTTTTATGTTTGAACTGCAATGTTCCCCTGGCCAATCGTTTGCACAAATAGCGCAATATTCATTTTTGTATACATCTTTATTTGTGGCATACATCTGTACAGACTCAGTGTCACAGAGTGTTTGTATAGTTTCATTGAATTCACAGTCGGGATGGCAGGTTGATTCGTACTTCCAACATTGATGTCCAAGTTGATCGAATACCAATTTGCAAGTCTTAGTATATATAGCTTGTTGCAGTTCTTCCATGTTGTAGGGCTGTATAAAAGGAGGACATGTAACTTCAGTAGGCATTTGAAGCTCACCTCTCGTGAAGTTGTTACATTTTGCACAGTAGTCGTTCAAGTAATACAGGCCAGTATTATTGTCAAATACTGGCATATAACCTTCAAGAAGGTCCAAACCAAACAAATCACATGTTTTGTTACTAGAATGTGGACATGTTGTTATCATCTTTACAGCTGCACTATGTTTCTTTGTCGTACAGTTCAATTGGATTTGTTGGTCTTGGACAGACTCCATGATTTTTTGTGAGTTTTCTGCCATGACAGGACAAAGTTGTGCAAAGTCAGAACAACAATCTTCATTCACCAAACAGTACACATCACACGCACAATGTCGATCTGGACTTGTTTTATTACCACAGTTACCATGACAACTGTAGAGGTGAGGCATATATGTTGTACAGTCCTTTACCTCATCTAAAGCTGTCTGAAGTGTCTCCTGATTCTCACATGGACTTACATATTCAGGATGTAGAGTCATAAATATCATAAGTGGTGAAGATGTTTCTTGTTGAGTTGTGAATGGGTCTTCTGTGTTATATTCTGCTGTCACATTGAGTGTTGACAGTGAAGTCTCCTCATTGGTGTGTCCATTTGTCACATTAAGGCTTGCTTTTGTGTCCTCTCTTACATATGGATCCGTTGTATTTGGTGATTCAGTTACATTAATGTTTCCTGTAGTGTCATTTTCGCTTTTTACATCAAATATAGCTTTAATATGTTCTGTTTTTATCTCACTCGTAAGATAAGAATCTGATGTTTTATGGTTTCTGCTTTGGATTTTTGTATTGTTACCAACTTGGCTTGTGTCTCCACAAAACAAAAGTAGAACAATAAGCATGAAACTGTACAGGGATATTCTCAGTAGTGAAATGACGTTCATCTTAACGGTTGTAATTTATATAAATATGCATCCAACTCTAATCCTTTACTCATTCACTTTGAATGTCTTATGATATATTTTTCCTTGACTGTATCTATTACTTAGGCTTCCTTTACAAGCACATGCACTTTACCTTTTTATCACAGATGATAGTTTCTCTTAATTTTGCAACACTACATTCATCTTAAGAAAAGAAATATTACTTCTAAATCCCCATTTTATCCTTCAGTTCTTAACCTTCAGTTTCAGTTTGTTTTGTTTTCCTTTTATTGTACATATTAATAAAGATTAAACCAGCATTGATCTTATCTTAATGCTTCTAATACCAACAAGTCCTCCATCAACATCATTCATCACTATTACTGAATTAATTAATTTATATTTCCGTTGTTAAAGGTTCTTTTAAAGCAATTTTTATCACCGTAGGTGCAATATTGTCATCAGTTTGCTGGGTGGATGGGTGGGTGAGCGTCCCACTTAATTTTATCCACATGTTTCTAAGCAAATGGTTTGAAGGATTAAATTTTAAATTTTCAAAGATGTTTCTTGTATGAAAATCTCGAACTGATTCATTTTGTCCATTCTTGGTAAATAAGGATGCCAATTTTGATTATCTGTCTTAAAATCCTGTCTGCTATGTCTTGTCTAAGAATTTTCAGGTGAACTGTTTGACGGATTGATTTCAAATTTTCAGGGATATTTTTCAGGGATATTTTCAAAATGATTAGATTTTGGGCATTCTGGATAAATGTGGCCATTTTAAGATTTTCCATTCTTAAATCTTGTCCGAAAAGTCTTTTCTATACATTTCTAGGTGAACTGTTTGATGGTTTGAGTTAAAATTTTCAGTGTTGGAACATTCTGGTAATTGTTGCTATTTTGGATTTCCGTTCCAAAATCTCATCTGAAGAGTCTTGCCTATATGTCTCCAGGCAAACCATTTGACGAATTGATTTCAGAAAATTTGGGTTGCTCCTCGATATGAAAGTTTAGAACTGCTTAGTTTTTGGCCATACTGCGTAAATGTTAAGATGGCCATCTTGGATTTTTCACCCTTTAATGTTTAAGGGTACGATTCTATTTACCCTGTGTCTTGGAGTATGACTCATACAGGAGTATGTGTTGTTTATAACTCGGAATAATCATTTCCCAGTACACTAATGAATCAGTTCCAAGACTGATATACCAGTTTATCTGAAACTATACAATAAAAGGTCACAGTGAACAGGATCTTTGAATTATTTCTATACAAGATTTAAATGCAATTATTATAGGAGAAGCTATTTTGCATTATTCATAGGTTCATTACAAACCTGTTAGTGATTTAAAGTGATTTATCTGTTTTGATTGATATTTTAATAGAAGTCATCAGACCCACTATTGTTGGAGACATAATCAAGTCTACTTTTATCACAGAAAGTGCTTGTTAAATGTAATTTCAAACAATTTCATCATATTTTCCTCACTATTTTATTTAAATGGTTCATTTATTGTATTGTTTGAAGGTTGTATTTTTTGTTAACTCATGGTAATTTCCCCTTGTGATTATCATTATTCACCTAGAATGATGGAGTTTTAATACTACAGGCATTATCAAAGTTCTCCTACACATTTTTATAATAGATGTGCAAAATAGAGCCTCAAATTACGCTCCTTTATGACAAATAAATGACGCTTTTGGATTAATACATCATAAGAACGATGAGAGATTTGCTGATTGCTGAAAAATTAACCATTTCATTGCTTTATTTGATTGATGAAAGTAAAGAATATTAAAATCACATCTGGCACCCGATGTTTTGTAGATTTTCCTGCTTCCTGGCAACATTGCACATTCCCCACAAAGAGACGCAAACACTGTAGGGCTAGTCATTGAGAGGGAACGCTTAGAGGAAAAGGGCGAACTGGATGGACTTAGGTATACTATTAGTCTTTGAATTATGGGAATACACTGAAGGGCTAGTCATTGAGAGGGAACGCTTAGAGGAAAAGGGTGTATTGGATGGACGTAGGTATAGTATAAGTCTTTGAATTATGGGATTACACTGTAGGGCTAGACATTGAGTGGGAACGCTTAGAGGAAAAGGGCGAACTGGATGGACTTAGGTATAGTATTAGTTCTTCAATTGTGGGATTACACTGTAGGGCTAGTCATTGAGAGGGAACGCTTAGAGGAAAAGGGTGAACTGGATGGACTTAGGTATAGTATTAGTTCTTCAATTGTGGGATTATACTGTAGGGCTAGTCATTGAGAGGGAACGCTTAGAGGAAAAGGGTGAACTGGATGGACTTAGGTATAGTATTAGTTCTTCAATTGTGGGATTATACTGTAGGGCTAGACATTGAGTGGGAACGCTTGGAGGAAAAGGGTGAACTGGATGGACTTAGGTATAGTATTAGTTCTTCAATTGTGGGATTACACTGTAGGGCTAGTCATTGAGAGGGAACGCTTAGAGGAAAAGGGCGAACTGGATGGACTTAGGTATACTATTAGTTCTTCAATTGTGGGATTACACTGTAGGGCTAGTCATTGAGAGGGAACGCTTAGAGGAAAAGGGTGAACTGGATGGACTTAGGTATAGTATTAGTTCTTCAATTGTGGGATTATACTGTAGGGCTAGACATTGAGTGGGAACGCTTGGAGGAAAAGGGTGAACTGGATGGACTTAGGTATAGTATTAGTTCTTCAATTGTGGGATTACACTGTAGGGCTAGTCATTGAGAGGGAACGCTTAGAGGAAAAGGGCGAACTGGATGGACTTAGGTATACTATTAGTTCTTCAATTGTGGGATTACATTGTAGGGCTAGTCATTGAGTGGGAACGCTTGGAGGAAAAGGGTGAACTGGATGGACTTAGGTATACTATTAGTTCTTCAATTGTGGGATTATACTGTAGGGCTATACATTGAGTGGGAACGCTTAGAGGAAAAGGGTGAGCTGGATGGACTTAGATACAGTATTAGTCTTTGAATTGTGGGATTACATTGTAGGGCTAGACATTGAGTGGGAACGCTTGGAGGAAAAGGGCGAGTTGGATGGACTTAGATACAGTATTAGTCTTTGAATTTTGGGATTACACTGTAGGGCTAGTCATTGAGTGGGAACGCTTGGAGGAAAAGGGCGAGTTGGATGGACTTAGATACAGTATTAGTCTTTGAATTTTGGGATTACACTGTAGGGCTAGTCATTGAGTGGGAACGCTTGGAGGAAAAGGGCGAGTTGGATGGACTTAGATACAGTATTAGTCTTTGAATTGTGGGATTACACTGTAGGGCAAGTCATTGAGAGGCAACGCTAAGAGGAAAAGGGCGAGCTAAATGGACTTAGGTATGGTATAAGTCTTTGAATTGTGGGATTACACTGTAGGGCTAGTCATTGAGAGGGAACACTTGGAGGAAAAGGGCAAGCTGGATGGAATTAGGTATAGTGTTGTCGCGATGTGCCATAATCGTACATCAATGCATCGGCAATTTTCAGTAGTAAACATCGATGCACATTGCGATGTACATCGAGAAAAAGTCAGAGAAAAGTGCACTGAGATACCGAAAGCTAATGCACTAAAATACCGAACAGAACAAATTAATAAGAGTACGCTGGTACATCCGGGAACTTCTAGTAACGGTGAAATGAAAGTAAAGTAAATTTTTTTAGATTAATGGTTCATTTCGACTAGCTAAAACAGTTTTAAAGTGAAAGAATATCAGAAAACATTGGAAAATGAAATAAGACATGAGAAAGGTAAGCAATTTGCGTCAAAATAAGATAAGAAAGGATGATTTTAAGCAAATTAAATTTTTTTAAAAACATTGATGTTTTGTTTCAGACATCGATGCATCGCCAGAATCAGCTTTGGCGATGTTTATCGCGATGTATCGATTAATCGCGACAACACTACTTAGGTATAGAATTAGTGTTTGAATTGTGGGATTACAGTCCATTAAGACCCATAGAGGCATCATCATCATTTCTTAAAAATTGCAAACAATCGTGACGATTATATGTTGGTCTTTCTTTGGTACAGTTTTAACTTACACCTTTTAAAAATGCATAAACTGATCGATGGTTGATAATCTACAGCTACGTATGTTAAATAATGAAAGAAAACCAACATTTTTATTTGGAATTGTTTCAATGTTCATTAAAATTTGTTTGCAGGTATTATGTAGAAAAAGATGGAGAGAAAACTCTAGAGTCGCTATATGAGGATTGGTTTTACTGCACTGACCTTGGAAGCCAACTAGCTCCAGTAATAAAAGCGTAAGGAATTAGTTTACAAGTATATCGCTACTATTACATTGTAATGACATTGTGATAATTTTTGCCTGAAGTGTGGCCGCTGCTTGTATTAGTTATCCCATCGAACAAAGTTCCGAGGGATATAGGGAACGCCTCTGTCCGTCCGTCTGTACGTATGTCCGTTCATCCATCCGTCTCCGTAACTCAAATACCGTTGACCCGATTTTGTTCATATTTTGTACACACATACCTAATGAGGGTAGAAGTTCTGCTCGAAAACCGATTTTCAAAATGGCTGCTCATTTTAAAATGCAGCCATTTTAGTGCCGATTTTACAGTGATTTAGGTACTGCATATAAAACTGTAATAGCAATATGTTTTAAATGTAAAAAAGTTATATAGGACATTGATTAAGTAAGAAATGTAAATAAAGAAGAAATACATGGCAGCCATCTTGAAACATGGCTGCCTTTGCACATCATTTTATGATTTTTGCTATAATTTGAAAAGTAGTGAAGCGATTTTTTCATATTTGGTATGGGAATTCTTTAAGCATGGCACAATGTCTAATGACATTTTGGGTAGTAGACAGCCATTTTTACGTGTGTTATTTTACATTTTTTACTATAACTCAAAAAGTAGTTGATCGATTTTGTTCATATTTTATATGTGAATACTATAAGCATGGCACACTGTCTAATGACACTTTGGGCAGTAGGCGGCCATTTTGAAAAATGGCTACCATTTTTTATGTTTTTAGTATAACTTGAAAAGTAGTGAAGCGATTCTGTTCATAATACTTTAAGCATGGCACATTGTCTAATTAAACTTTTGGGAGTAGTCGGCCAATTTGAAAAATGGCAACAATTTTTATGTGTGTTATTTTACATTTTTTATTATAATTCAAAAAGTTATAGAGCGATTTTGTTCATATTTGATATGTGAATATAAGGATTGCATACTGTCTTATGACATTTTGGGTAGTAGGCGGCCATTTTAAAAAATGGCCAGCATTTACATGTATGTGCGATTTTTTAAAAATCTTTATATGTACCTACTTAAAAGCATATTGCTTCTTCTGATGACAACTTGGCTAGTGAGCAACCATTTTGAAAATGGTGGCCTCTCTTATGGGTGTTATTTTATGATATCTGCTATATATTTTGTTTGTAAAGCCAGCCATTTCTGTTCGATGGGATTCGCTACGCTTTGGCGTTGCCGTTGTTCTGGTTAATCTTCCTTGGATCACTCAGAGGTGAGGGGTTGATTTTAGCACATAGGTGGGAAGTCAGTCCAAAATCGTGATAGTAATTCCATGTTGAGTGTGCCAAGTAGAGACCCTTTTCATGTTCACATGTAGCATATGTTGGAAACGCAGTACAGACACTATGGCAATGTGGGTCCAGACATCATACATAATTGACAAAACTGGAAACTAGGTGACAGCAATGTTCTACTGTCTACGATAATTATACATATTCTATCTGCAATTTTTCACGGGATTTGGACATGCTTTTTTGGTGAGTTACCCTGCCCCCCCCACCCCCATAGTTGGTGATGATGCTGTCGACTCATTGTCATATTGTAGAAAATGACTGTGCCACATTTCCGACAAGTTCAATTTTGTAAGCAGATTGTGAGAAAAATAAACAAAAGTTTCAATCGTAACACTGGTCAATGCCTGATCAGAAATTTCTATGGATTTACACACCTTGAAGAATTGTTCACCGAATGTGAAGCATGAGTTCTCAAAAACTTACCTATGTTTCGAGGACATGGAGGACGAAGTGGCTCCGTAATCGGAGTTGCCTCCATTTTGGTCTGTAACATGTTGCAGCCTCGTTTTGAACAGCTATGCGTTTCTGCGCTGCGTTACCTATCTCCACCTTGCATTGGCGGATCCAGGAGCTAACAAGGGGGGCCCAGATTTCAAGTTCTCAAAAAATGTTGGGCCCCAAAAACCAAAATTTGTATATGTGATCTCATTATGTTCTGCTTGCCCTTTTTGGAATATCACTCCACACTGGTGGATCTGGGGGGGGGGTAATTTGAGTGTTGCAGATGAATATTGATGCAAGAATGTGAAAATATTTGCAGTGAAGGACATTGACACTTACAATAAAAGAATAACAATTATCCCTTTGAAATAAAAAACAGGTTTATTGTAAAATAATAGCCTTATAAACCAATGAAATACATACTGCAAAGCTCTGGAAAACAAATTTATGAAAACTAATATTTGTGACTTGTATTTTCCAGGTTCGTTGCTTCTGAGCAATGTAAGACTGGGAAGCCACTTCCAGGTAAATTCTATTTACACATTTACTTGTATTATCCCATCAAACGGAGTTCGGAGGGATATAGGGAACACCTCTGTCCATCGATCGGTATCCAAATGTTAGTCTGAATTTATCTTTGTGGAAAGATTGTATGCTTCAGTTGCTCTTTAACAAAACATGTGGGACAGTGTATCAATATATTACAAGACGTCTGTACATCCATCCATCCATACAACTGTCTGTCTGTCTGTCTGTATGTACATACGTCTATCGGGATGATAACTAAATTTGTGAACCCAATTTTGTTTAATTTTGTACACATGTGCTCAATAGGAGTAGAAGTTCTGCTCACAAGCCGAATTTCAAAATGGCAGCCATTGTAGTGCTGATTTTACAGTAATTTAGGTACTGTATATAAGACTGTAATAGCAATATGTTTTAAATGTTAAAAGGTTATATAGGACATTAATAAACCTAAATATAGATATTTAAGAAATATATGGCGGCCATCTTGAAAAATGGCGGCCTTTACATGCTATTTTACGAATTTTGTTGTAACTTGAAAAGTAGTAGAGCGATTTTATTCATATTTGATATGTGAATTGAATACTCATAAGCATGGCGCATTTGAAAATGGTGGCCATTTTTATGTGTGTTATTTTATGATTTTTGCTAACCAGAAAAGCATTTTGTAAAAATGGCAGCCATGGCTGTTCGATGGGATTTGCTACGCTTTGGCATTGCTGTTACCTACTTACTGATTACTATTGTATCTTGTTTTTTATGTAATGTGTATTCATTAAATCATATTTAGATTATTTCACTAGCATTGAATCAAAATTTCTCTAAATCTCAAACAATGATGCTTATAGATGTTTTATGCATGGAACACCAAACATACACAAGAGAATTCAAGAAAATTTCAGCATATTTAAAAATTAGTTGCATATTTTGGGCCACCCTGTAGCATCTGTTTACTTTTAGATCTGTATAATATTTACCTTTACCTACATGAATTCAATAAGCATTTGTACACTATTCATCATATTAAAGGCACCATACCAGAAAACGCTCCAATTGTGTTGGACTATATACTGTATAATATATGCCTTAACCTACATGAATTCAATAAGCATTTGTACACTATTCATCATATTAAAGGCACCATACCAGAAAACCCTCCAATTGTGTTGGACTCTGAGAGAAAGCTGGAGGATCCATTCCCCCTAAAAGACTGGATCAACGCTAACAGGGCAGAGATTGAGGCTAATGGTCATAAAGAAATTTTTGGAAATGGTTATCAATTTCAGGTGAGTTCAAAGGTCAGGGCAGATGCACTGCTCAGTGTAGTCTGATCTGCGGGACTGTGTTTGTTATTGTGAATTGATTTGAAATAAAAAGTATTATACATTATTTTAAATAAAAAACCAATTGAGGATATATAAGTGGTTTATCTTGATAACTGCTTTGTCATGGTCGGGAGCTGTATCATCTTTCCTACTGAAGTGCACATACATGTATGTTCTTTAGTGGCTGGTGGGCTAACCGTACTTATGATTATCTATTTCCACAGGTGGATATGTTTGGTAAAGGGGAGAACTCAGGAGGAAATGATGTTGCAGAGATCTGGATTTGGCAGATGGTAGGTCACTGTGGTTGTCATGTTTTGGTTACACTAGTCATGTTTTGAAATAGACAATTTGATAAAAACAGTGATAAGTGAAAGATATATGAACTGGGAAAACTAAGATACAATAGAGAGAGAAAATATTAAATGGGAAAAAAAGTTTATATACCAGTAATTCAATGTTGTCTAAATTTCCTCATATTGTCCAAAAAATGAAATATTGAAACATATTATCTTCTGTGTTTCAGGAAGGCAGTTCAGAGGTGACAATAGATGGCGAGCTCTTCAAACTCAGTGAGAATGACAGCCTTCTTATTCCAGCTGGAAAACGGTATAATTTATTTTATTTGAAATTCAATGGACTGCACCTCAATAAATTAACAAAGTTTTCATTTTTAAATGTATCACAAGTAGATGAGACCAATGACGGAATAAGTTAAATGAACCAATCATTGTTTTTCCAGATATACAGCAAAACGGGGAGAAGGATCACTTGCGTTGATTTGCTTCCAAGATCCTTTTAGAAAATACAAGTAAACTCTAGCATTGATGGAATCCTGAAGTGTCAAATCTAAACATTCCTATACCTGTGTACAAAGGAAGAACATATATATATACATGTCTCAAGCAAATAACAATTTCATATATTTTGTCATTAAAAACATGTTTTATTACACTTAAATAATGAATGTACCGGTATACAAATTTAAAATCAAATGCAGTACATTTTTATTGTAGGTTAGTATTTACATATAATCCGTGGTTTTACCACAAAGTGATATTTTGTATTTTGTAAAATCCAATTGAATGTTTCCAATGTCATCTCTCTAAAAATCTGATTGGTCAATGTTATTTGAAGGCAAGTTCTTTAGGAGTCTTTGTCTCAGAAATATTGTGAATAATAATTCATGAAATTATACTGTGTTCAAGATATATTGCCAAAGTTATAAGATATATTCAATGTAGGATTAATATGTATAATATTTTTGATAGAACAAGCCATATGCTCAAAATAATTTACCTATGGAGGGCAATACCTGTTCATCTTTCAGTGATCTCTGCAGGGAGATTGTTTATATTGTTAATATAATATGATCACATGGTGCCATGTTAACCAATCAGAATACTGGAATTTCAGCATGAATTTGAACATGTTAAGGAGGTCAAATTCATTGGCGTCAGAAGGGGGAGGGCGTTGGGGCCCCCACCCCCCTTTTCCCAGATCTTTTTAGATTTGAAACCGAGCCTAGAATTGAAAGCTCTGGAGCTAATTAAAGTCAAAGTGTAATAATGGCATAGTTTCTCAGGAACCCATACAATATGTAAATAGGCGACTTTGAAGAATTGCAAAATGTTACCCTTTGTATTCGTTCGACGTCACTTCTCAGTTAAAAGAGAGCTTTGTATTATTCTAACTAGACTCTGCACACAGGGTAGCAAAATGTATATTATAGTAAATATCAAAGTTTTTTTAGTCAAAGTCGAGCTAGTTTTCTAAAAACATAATTTTTTCTTATTTTTCTTGTTGGGAATACTGTGCTGAGATGTGTTCAGAATGCACCAGAGAGGGTCTAAATTACGTGCTAATTATGCGATGATGTCAGAGAAAAGGACCATATAGAAAGTTGTCCGTATTATGATGAACTCTGATTGGCTCGGTGAGATGAGAGATTTATTGTAAACTGAAACAGCGAAGACAAAGCTCTCTTTTAAGAAGTGAAGTTGAACGGATGCAAAAGGTAATTACTGTAGGGATTATGTGCCTGATACCATGAAGTTTTATGATCAAACGCGAGGTAGATGTTTCAATTTAATCAAAAGTAATTATCGCAACATTACAAAAACTGCTTAAAATGTGTAACAAACTCGTATATTTACTGCATAATAACATAATGTTGACATATACATGTAATAATATATACATGTTGACATATACATGTAATAATATACACATGTAACAGCTGATATTCTGAATACCAAATGCTCTGTTAGTCTTGATACAAGACAGTCATTCTAGAAAGTGAAGAGAATATATGTCTCTGGATTAATAAATAAAAATGTATTAATGAAATAGCAAATCATTAGTTTATGCTCGTAATAGATTCAGATGAATGGAATTATATTACATGGACTTGAATAAGATAATGATTATTATTAGAAAGGTGTACTGGAAAACTGCCATACCATGTTGTTAGTCATTTTCTCCTGCTTTACTGTCTACATGCATCGTGGTAAAACACGCCCTCTCTATCTCTATCCTTCTGGATAGCATCTGCGATGCAACAGAGAGAGATGCTATGAGTATCAGAATGGTCTACATGGTCAAAGATACAGTAATATCTCTATACTTAATCTAAGTAATACTTAACTTACGTAATTAAATGAGGTTGAAACTCTTGTGTGTAAAAACCTTGAAATCACAAGGTTTGACCAGTACAGGTAGGATTTTAAATGGCGTGATTAGTGCCACTAAATGGACAAATTATTTGTTGAGACCTAAATTATTGTTATAATGATGAGATTAGAATTTTTATGAATGTACATTTAAGTCGCATTGGATGATCTATATTGTTAAAGATAGGCAGCTAGTGCATGTCTTTCAATCATTGTTACATTGTACAATAACCATGGAATAAAATATTGAATTTTCCATTACAATAAATATTTGCTTTTGTTTCTGTATGTATAATGCAGTTTTCATGATACATTCTAAAACATTCCAAAATATCAACTACACTGGATTGAACAAAACAACTACACCATAATGATTGGGGAATAAAACTCACGATGTAAAGGTATAAATTCAAGAGGCCATTTGATCTGGGAACGTTTCACCTGGCTTAAACACCTGTCTAACGTTCAGATTCACTCTAGTTTCGTTCAAGTAGTCCTCAAATAAAACCCAATCAGCGTCAGACACTGTAGCTTCATTCCAACATGGCTCATCATTGCAAACACAGGGTGTCGTTGAATCCTTTACGCTCTTAGGATTATGTCCTGGTGTCCCTGGGGGATTCTTAATTTCTGTCTTTGCACAATCTACATCACAACCTGCAATTTGTTTAGCATCACCCGATTCAAAAAGTTCAGCAGTCTTGTTTGAAAGACACTCTTCTAATTGGAGGCAATTAGTACAATTTTTTTCATCTTTGTTAAGATTTTTATCCAATGTTTTCTGCCCAACTTCTTGATTTGAAACCTCCAAGGCTTCCATGTCCTTTGAATTGAGAATTTTTGGCACTGCATGATAGAATTTCCTAGCTGGGCCTGCCATTATGATGATGTCACCATCTCGGAGAAACATCGGGGCAGGAGCCGTATCTTTGGTGTCCCCGCCAAGTAGAAATATTGCTGGCTGACCAAAGCTGAAAAAAGCAATTAGTCTCATGATTTAAATAGTGGATACCCTATGACCTTTAAGTGATTAGATTTTTATCCACAAATGGATATGATATCTGCATGAGTGACATTAGTAAGAGACTACAGAGTGCAGAAATTAATATCCAGTGCATAAAAATCATATCACGAGTTAATTATTGGATAATACTCTTATCCATAGTTGAAGGGTGCTTGTAAAAAGCTTCCAAAAGTCTGATAAGCTAGTGTTACTGAAAGCTTTGTTTTAATCAAGTAACAAAATCCATTGACAACTGAATATGGCAGCGTATCTCATGGTTTAAAAGCCATATTAAATGGTGTAATGAAAATTTGTCAAAGATTTTTCCACTGGTTACAAAAATAGCATTTTTGTAATTTGACAAGATATGCAATGAATCACAGTAACTATGGAATTATCGCAATACCTTATTGACAGCAGTGGTGCTTCCATGTCGTACTCTGAGTGATCCTGGTGCCCTGCTAATGTAGAATACATGCGATAGTAGTTGACTACAGCAGCCTGTGGGGAGTAGGTATGATAACCAAGTACATTGGTAATGTATTTGCTCAGTTGAGCAAGATCACTGGGAAATGAAGTGACATCATCTGGAGAGTATTCCTGCAAATAAAGAATATTACTTTTAGTTAATGGTAAGATTATTACATCTAATCATGAGTATAAATGTATTAAAAAAATGTAAAATCTAGCATTGCAAATTGAAATTGGATTTTTAAAGATATAATTCCAATCTCAATTGGCAACATTTCATAGTTAAAATATGATATTAATTGAAATATGATATTAATTTGACACACTCAATGTAAAATAGGTTTTAGAAAAATGAGGCTTCCTTTCCCTTGATATTGATTGGCAATGGGCCAAGCTTGTATACCAAACAGGGGGTTCGAAACCATCCAACTGGCCAAAAATTCTTGCAAAATCATGCAGTTTTTCACAATTTTGAGCACTTTTCAAGGGACTTTGAGACAAAATTCTAAGATTTGAACCTCCCTTGGCAAAAGTTGGCTATGGGCCTGAGCTCTGAAGAACCTGCAACAATACTACAATACTGCCTTTATTACCTTAGTGTCCCAGTTATGATGGTATCCCAAAGTGACCCATCTCAACTTGTACATGAGAGTTTTCTTCATCTTCAAACTTGGATCATTTCGCCTGAAAAAGAAAAACACAACATCTGAACTATTTTTGCTGTGAAAATAAATGGCAACAAAATTGAATTGTCATGACAATCACATGTGATAATTAGAATTTTAAATGGAAGATTCTAGTTACAATTAAGACATGTGAAGGTCACATCAATAGGTTACATTCATACCAATAGGTCAAGGTCACATCAATAGGTCACTGCAATGCCAATAGTTCAAGGTCATATCAATAGGTCACTGTCACAACAATATGTCAAGGTCACATCAATAGGTCACTGCCATAACAATATGTCAAGGTCACATCTGATCAATATGTCAATTTCACACCAATAGGTCAAGGTCACCTCAATAGGTCACTGTCAAACAAAATGTTAAGATTCTACAATACAGCAGTATTTCTAGATCTGTTAAGATGTAATACAATCCTAATTTCTAGTTTGCTTTTTGTTGAGATCTACACCTGGGTATAAACTATGAACATGTAGAGGCCTATTGTTAACCCTTTTATATATCACTTTTCATGTTCCTTTATCTTCTAATCACTGTATATCACTAAACTTACAGTCTAAGAGGATGCCTCTCAATACAGCTCATGAACCCAACCAATGTCTCAAAATGGATTTGATAATAGAAAAATGAAGAAATACTTACATTAGTTCGAATGAGTCATCCCAGATGTTTTCTTGAATTGAATCAAGGTTAAAATCGTTGTATAGTTTGTTGCATCTATTGCGGTTTGTTGGGAAATCATGGATACATCTGTGAAGAATCCTTCTGTGTAAGTTTGGTTGGAATGGATTTTTTATAAATGAGAACCCTAAAATGAATGAATGTTCAAAACATGTACACTGTACATTCATGACAATTGTAAGGCTGAAAATGAGAGCTTTCCAAGATCTAGCATACCAAATGTCAGAGAAAATATTGAACTATATGTATAGCATCAGCTTTAAAAATTTCAATTGATAATTCTGACCTGGAAGTTCATCTAGAGTGTAGACTTTCCATTCAGCTGGTGGAATAAGACCACACATTGATTGTTGATGACTGAGGCCATCCATATGTGCTCCAAGAGGAACTGTTGTATAAGCATATCCAATGTCCTGAATGAGAAACATGAACATGAACATCAGAGGGGTCACTACAAGAGAGTTCCCTGCAGTTGAAGAGTCTGTAGGTTTTAGCATGTTGGAACCATAGGTGTGTTGGGAAAAATATTATTTTATTCACTGTTTACTTACAAAATTTCTTAATTTACAATTTTCCAGAAACATTTGCAAGTCTGAAGTCCTACCTTGATATTCTCTGGTCTGTAGAAATCAATCACTTGACTGTAATCTGGGGTTGGTTTCTTGCATTTGTAATATTTAAAACGTTGATAAAATGGATCTTGTTCTTTACTTTCTCCGTCACCAAGAGGGTTGGTGAGAGCCTCATTGGCGGCCATTGTTGTTGTAGTCAAATTGTGCTGTTGATGAAAATAATTTTCTTAATAAAAGCTTATATTTAGTAGGTTGACATCACTGGGGGGTAGGTACAAACGATTTTTTGAAGCAAATGCGTGGCATAAGCATAGGCCAAGGGTAAAGTAATAGTAAGCCGTATATAGAAGAGACAGGTGAACAACTCTGACTTAGACCACTTGTTAAGATGGAGATTTCAACAATATTTAGTGTATTATTTTCAAAAAGCCATGGGGAGTTGATAGAAAATTGATAGTTTGTAGCTCTTACCTAAGATTGAAACTCAGTCAGATGATATAGAGTTAATAATGCTGTCTAAAAGAGAGAATTTCTGAAAACCTACAATTGCTTGGCAAGTTCATTAGTAAACAAGTGATCTGATTGGTCACTGCTGACCTCCCTGACCTCCACCAGTGACAATCAGTTACAGCTTGCCAGGCAATTGCAGATATCCATAGCTGTTGTTTTATATGCAGTATTATATGCAGTTTTTAGATAAAGATTTGAAAAAAACAATGATATAAGTTTGAAAAACACTTTGAAGAAGATTTTGGAGAGATTTGGGAATACAATTTGATACCAGTAAGGAGAACTAGTGCCAAGACTAGTCTCTTCTATACAGCTTACTATTACTTTTCCCTTGGCCTATGGGCATAAGCATAAATTCTGAACCAAATGCGTGACAAATACAGAATTCTTGTGATCATTCCGAACCAAATGCGTTCGGTTTTTCGGTGTTGTTTTTTGATGTATCAGCATTCATTTTTTTGCTAGTTCAACAAGTTAAACCCAATACCACGGCTTTTATTTATTAATCTGAATGTTCTTGTTACCGTGATTGGGTTCAACTTCCGTGCTATGCTTTTCATCATTGAAATGAAAATTTCTTTCATCAAGTGTCAGGCACGGATGTTAAACCTAGGGCGGGCCACACGATATGTCAGATAAGAAATAAGGCCCAGACTAGGTTTAACTTATTGAACTAGCAAAAAGCTGGTGTGACTTCAATTTCTTCAGCAAATGTGTGACAAATACGCAAATTATGGAACCGTTGGACGGCCTAAATGCATCTTTAGTTTTTTGTCTTGTGACCCTTCTTCTTCTTAATACTTTAGTAACTAAATATTATCTGGAAATCAGTCAAATAAAATGGAAATATTGCACTCAAATTACTAAGTCTACAAGTGGGCGATAATATAAATAGTGTGCTCTTACCTTGTCGTTTACTCTTGTTTAAAGACAAACATCCATTTAATCAATTTCAATCAACAATGCCAGTAATATGTATTAGCATATTGGAGACTCAAATAAGTTATTCAGCATTAAATGTCAGGTTTTAGAAAGAAAAGTGTGAAACTGAAACGTTGAAACTTTTGATTTCTAGTTGAGAAAAACAGCTTCTGCTAGTCACAAAGCCGCTATAGCGAAATTCACTACCTTTTACAGTTTGCATATAGTTGTTTATAATATTCATCAATTATATTAATGTGTTTAGTCAGTGAACAGGCAACTGACACCAATTCGGGTGTATATACATGTAGTTACATATGATTATATTACATAATTGTATTAATCAAGATGACAAGATATAAAACTGTTTTTAAAAATAGAAAAGTAAGAGGAAGAGAAAAAAAGTGAAAGTTTCAATAAGATTGGTACAAAAATAAAGAAATGAGAGCCTTTTTCTGGGAACTTATTGATTTACCTGGTATAAACAGAGTGACACAAAAAAGTGTCACCCACCTCAAGTTGAATAACTTTTTTGTCTCTACGATTCCTGAGTTCTTCCTTTGCACATTGAAACTAGACTTCATGGAGCAACTCTACAAGAAGTTTCAGATGGCAAGCCTCAATTATGTGGACTGTCGTCCATTCCACTGCAGGCACACTTCTGGATTCTACTGGCAAGGTTATTGACCATATTCGCGGCCTGACATCGACCCGCAAGACTTTCTTCCCTGGGGGTACCTGAAGGACCATTTGTATGTAACAAACCCCCAAACCGTAGAACACCTGAAGATAAAAATCCGCGGCAAGAAAGATCAGGGCCATTTCTGTGGGGAATGTGTTAGGGTTGTCAATAACTTTACCCATGATAGAATCCAGGTGTGCCTAACATTTAGAGAAAATCTTATAACGCTCATGAAAGTGTATCCAGTTGAGCTAGTCATTTGAAACTTCTTCATGCAAAGTTGATCCATGAAGTTTTTTACTTTGCAAAAAAAGAAATCCAGGAATCAAATAGACGAAAAAGTTGTTTAACATGATGTGGGTGGCACTTTTTGTGTCACCCTGTATATATAAGCACATATGGCTAAATGTTATACAGTTCTATAATACGTGTCCAGATAATACTTTTTTCAAATCTGACTTCAATTTATTTTTAGAATTCACACCCTATGCAGACAGAGTTTGTGGGAAATATTGGGTGGGGAGCAAATGAGCGGAGGGTGCGGAGCTAACGGTCATTTTTGAATTTAAATTTGGGATATTTCTGGAACTAAGCCGTTTTGGGACTTCAAATATACCAAGATATGTGTATTTGACACCAAATATCAATACAATTGTGAAAATAGTAGCGCAATTCATTCTATAGCGACGCAGTGTGCCCTAAACCTTTCCCAGACCTATATATTTTGAAATTATCCTTTTAATCCCCAGCATTCATAACAAATGGTGTTCAAGGTACACTATCTATACAAATTATTTTTGCATCTTGGAAGCCAGGCAGTATCAGTGTGATTTTATAAAAATTCGGAAATGTTTTTCAGATATGAGCCCCCTCTAAATATTGGGTGCGGAGCAGCTCCATAAACGTAGCTCCGCACCCAATATTTAGAGGGGGCTCATATCTAAAGAACATTTCCGAATTTTTATAAAATCACACAGATACTGCCTGGGTCCAAGATGCAAAAATAATTTGCATGGGTAGTGTATCTTGAACACCATTTTTTATGAATGCTGGGGACGCAGTATTAAAAGGATAGTCTCAAAATATATAGGTCTGGGAAATGTTTAAGGCATACTGCGTCGCTATAAAATGAATTGCACTACTATTTTCACAATTTTATTGATATTTGGTTTCAAATACACATATCTTGGTATATTTGAAGTCCCAAAACGGCTTAGTTTCAGAAATACCCCAATTTTAAATTCAAAAATGACCGTTAGCTCCGCACCCTCCGCTCATTTGCGCCGCACCCAATATTTCCCACAGGCTCTGTCTGCATAGGGTGATTCAGATGTCTGATAATTCATTCCATGTCGTGTCCCTTGACCATGAGTTTGAGCATTTGATATGAGGTAGTCACAGAATAATGTTTGAGGAAATTCTTTTGGTCGTTTGAGACAATTAAATACAAGAATACCAACATTTAGCTTGTGAATATCTTCTAATAATATAAGTGTCTTTATTTTCTTAAACTGTATCTACAGAAATCGTCTAGCACTGTTTGTAATTAATATTTTTTGTACCTCAGAATTTGAAACAATATAGAGCTTTAGTTGCTGTTCCCCAGATAAGAATACAATAATTTATATGGCTATATACGAAAGAGTAATAACTAGACACCATTGCAGTGTGGTTTACCTTATTTTGACTTTGTAAAGAATTCCGACTACTTGTGATATTTTGTTAGATACATATATATTCTTTTATTGACTCTTATATATGTCAGTCTCTCCGACACATGGGTCACTATACAGTTATTTACATGTGTTTTATATGAGCAATATGTTCATTCCATTTTAGTTTATCATCTATAATAACTCCAAGTAAAGTAGTCTTTGAAATTCTATCAATAGGTATACTGGTATTTCCAATTTTAATATTTTGCATTTTTATATCAAATGCTTTTAATTTCTGTGGATGAAAGGTCATGAATTTAGATTGTTCTATATTCAGCGATAGTTTATTTGGACGTAGCCATTCGTAATTTTTAAAGGGACAATCAACTCAACTTGAATCAACTCTAGGCTTCAAACATATCGCTAAGAATTTTAGATAAGGGTAAACCAAAACATTACAAAACCCATTTAGTCTTGAGTGATATATTTCTGGACTTGTAGAATACACATTTTAAACCCAAAATTTAGTAAAACTTGAAAATATACTTTTCAATTTGTGAACAGATAGTTCTTTGCTGCCACTTTAATATAGAAAAATGTTCAATGTGTCTTTATCTGTTTTTACGATAAACATAGCCTACATGTAGATTTAAACATTGTGAAACAGTTGTTTTTATTAGTTTATGATTTTTATTTCCAGTAACTTTTATATTTTCGTATCGGATCCATTGTATGTCATTTCTCTTGGGATTGCACAAGTTGTAAGTGAAGTATTGACACGAATGCCAAGAGTTCCAACATTTCGTTCATTTTACACTTCCTTTTTCTCTTATTTGCTGAGAACATCAACACATCATCATGTATATTTTCTAGGCTACTGCTCTGAGTGTTCATATCTTTCAGGCCCTAAGCCAGCTTTTAGCAAGGAGGTTCACTTTTTTAAAACTTCCAGGGGGTTCACTTTTGATAAGTTTGATCCAAAATTGACCAATATTACTTAAATATTGCTCAGAATGGTGAAAAATAGCATGATTTTGAAAGATTCTTTATTACCAAGGGGTCGCTCGAACCAATGAACCCCTCTGCTACGGACCTGTGAATTGTAAGAGCAATGAAGCTTTTTAATGAAGGAGGTCAGAGCCTCGTACATTATACAGATGAAGCTCTCTTTTAAAGAAGAACAAAAGCAAAATTAAACGAAAGAGTAGTATAATAGATCCTAATTCCACGTAAAATTTAACTCGCTATCTAACTCACTCATGAGTTTTTTAAGTTTTTCATTGAATGGCGCAAAATATTTTTGCAATTTCTCCTTTGTTTCTGGTTGCATCACAAGATGTAATCTATGTTTATTTGTCCCTAATGTCCCTATACATTCAACATATGACTTTTTAATTGGTGTTGCATTGCTAATATCTGTATGTATACAACTTGTATTTAGCATAGGGTTAAAGTAAAATTGTTTTTCTTTAAAGTAAGGAGAAATGTTCAAAAATCTTTCAACCTGGTGTAATGTTATCGCTGGATTCAATTTGAGATTCATCATATCGGTAATCAGAATCCGATCACGAGGAAAGTATTTCAAGAAATTCTGAATATAATTCACATAAACTCCATGCCTAATAAGGTGACATGTCTCATCTACTTGGCTATTTATGCCAAGGACAACACTTTCGAAAGTTGCATTTTTTGAAACTATAAATCCTTTGCGTGTATTTTCCTGGGCATGTAAGAAAGCTGACATAGTTCTCTCAACTGGATCACATATCTGAAGTAATATTTTTACCCCAGGTATAGTATTGTAAATCGTTGATAGGTTAACAATGTCAGCATAGGATGGAGTCTTCTCAAATGACATCTCCCACGGATATATTTCTGGCATGAGATCCACATAAGAGACAGATTTATCCAATTTAGCTATCCTATCAAAGAAATGAACTTCTGTTTTATCAGATCTTTTAAGTTTAGGATGGTATGAAAGAAATGTTGCAAGGGCCTGTGTTCCACATTTCATAAATCCAGCTATTATGAAACCAGGCAGTTTTTTCTCCTTTCCAGTTGTTTTTATTCCAAGTGTTATTTTCTCCTTTTCAGCTACTTTAAACTTTGGAATATTTTTCTCTGTGAGAAATGTGGTCATTTTATTTCCACGCATTAAATATATGTAAGGATTTGTGAGCAGAATTACAGCTCCGAAGGCAAATAATACCAAATTCGAAGAGTAATGGCCAAATTTGAGAAGCATCGTCATTGGAAATTATTTGACTCATCGTCCTAATTTTATATCATAATAATCAATAGTTTCTATTAACATTTCATAAACGCAATCCGATTTTCTGATTTCGATATTCAATATCGAATAGCATTGTATTTCAAGGCCAGTTTGCATAAAGCGCGTATTTGAAATAACCTTTCACAAACATGTATTGGTACCCTAGACAGATAAATGATTCATCATTTTGAACAATGATATAACAACATTATTTCAAAAGAAAACTAAAGAGAGAGTACTCTTCCTAGCTTTTTGGGCTAATGCATGTTAGGGAAATCAATGAACAGTGTGAATGTTATCAAATTTTTATTCCTTAAACTTGAATTCCATATCATAGATCCAGAAAATAGTGAACTGATCTCAAAGATGTATTTTACTTGCATCTTATCAGTTATATTTCAAGACAGTTACGAACACGATAAAAAATAAATCGGGTCGTTCCATGGGTCCGAGTCCAATTAGTCCGAATCCCATTCATCCGGAACCCGTCGGTCTGAATTCCACTCGTGCGAATACCAATGGTCCGAATACCATTGGTCCGAAACACTACTTATTTAGCAATACGCGGAAGAAACGATCTCATTCAATAATCACACCAGGCAACGCTATTTTATTCAACATGAAAATATTACTAACATATTTCTTTTTTTAATATTCTCAAATTATATTTTCGGAACGGGATTTGGACCATTGGGATTCGGACGAATGGGTTTTACGTATTGCTTGCCATCTGGACCTATGTATCGTCTTACTTTTAACGCCATAACATCTACTTTTAACGCTGTCAAAAACGATCTCGTACGTACGCCGTTAAGAATTAACTCGAACGCCGTCAAAAACGACTTTGAAAGGCGTCAAAAACGATTTTGAACAGCGTCAAGAATTGCATGCGACATTTAAATTACATTTGATAGCCAATAAAAAAACCAGCGTTACAATGTGTGTGTTATTGAACGAACGTACATGTTTGTTCGTCTGAATGACTTGAATGATTGCTTTAATTGGTTGTGCAAAATCATTTTTGACACCGTTAAAAGTTATTTCAACGGCGTTTAAAGTAGATTTTACGGATTGAAAAGTTTGATGATACTTTGGTCCGGATGGCCACCCATAGAACATTTTTATCTTGATATGAAAACGAGTAATTTAAGCATTCGTAGGAAAATTGTTTGACCAAAACAATATGAGGAAATTTATGGATGGGAATGACTGCAAAACGAATCAGCAAGAATTGCATATAAAACAACTTTATTACTTATGTTCGATCCATATATATTATATGACTGTACATACTCTATGACCTTAAAATGTCATGATCAATCGTATCATGAAGCTTTAAAGCAGCAATTATTATTGAAATGCATGAAGTAATGATATAGTGAAGCCCTCTGTCCATCATTCTGGAAAATAACTCAAATTCTAATTGACAAATTTTCTTCATCTTTGTTGGAAAGATATTGTTAAAAAATAATTTTTCAAGACAGCCGTCGGTTTAAAAATTCATTTCTAGCTAAAGTAATGAGCATAACTGAACTTTGGTATTTGATATATTAAGCGTCTATACATTCTGTGTTTTCTGGCACGACTGCCACAGGCTGTATACTGGGGTTGGGAAAAGAGGAATTTTCATTAATTTTAAAATCGTTTATTATATGTACAGGGTGTTCCAAATGTAACAGGACTGGTGCTGGCATTTTGTTTAATATGCACCAATCATCTTCAAAATTTTACGTAATGTACTTATATGTATCGTTACTAAAACTGCAAAGTTTCGACAAAATATATGAAACTCGGGTAGAGTTATTGCTGCTATAGTAACATGACATCGCAATACCCGGGGCAACATTCCACGCAGAAAGTTACAGAGACATTAGCATTTTGTACATCCCATATCAAAGTTGAAATGCAACAACTGGTGTGAATTACATTTTTTACATCATTTGATATTTCTATGTATCCTCTACTTTGAAAAGTAGGCTCCTCTTGGTCACTACAAGAGTACTACTCTGTATCCATGACCCAAACACATGAGTGAACCCATTTGAGGACATGTCACGCAGGGTCGATTGAACAATTTGAAGAAGGTTATTCTCAACTTTAAAGGTCTTACAGCACTGATTAGCATTCTATTCTCAATATAAGTAAAAATTAGATATTGTATGATCAGAAGAATATGGTGCATGGTTTTAGACCTCAAGACCTAGCTCCTCTATAGCTGCATGCTCTTTAACGGTGACCTGCGGGCAGGCTGGTTATCAAGGTGGATAACTGGCTTCAAATTGGGTCTTTTCAAAAACTCAACCGTAAATTGTTCAGACTGTTATACATAGTGATATTTCAGGAAATTGAATGAATATTATTATTATGACGATGATGAAATTATACTTGAATCTGAGTTGTATAGCAACACCTGTACAACAAAGCAACTAATAAAATAAACAAGAAATGTTGTATTATAATAGGTGAATTAGATACTTTCTTCAGTAATACAAAAATATTAGATATCACATTTTCAGGATGAATTTTCCCCGGGTATTGTGATGGCATGTTACTATAGTAACCATAACTCTACACTCATTTCATCATTTTTTCTGGAACTTTAAAATTTTTGTTGCAATACTTTAACGTACAATTTGTAAAAATTTGAAGACACTCGGTGCAAAATTGACACAATGCCTGCACCAGTCCTGTTACTTTTGGAACACCCTGTAATATATAGTTTATACAAGTGCACTTGTACTGTTTTGATACTTTGAAATAAAGTTATTACAGTAGTAAAAAGATTGGGTGTTTCCATGTGGACATCTGCTAATCCTTACAATGTAAATCTTTAGTTTTGCCTGCAAGTTTATTCACTTTATCAGCCACTGTTTCCATGGCAACAAACTCCCTATCAGTGTTATCACTCTCTATTGATACATCATCCTGTTCATTGTCAGAGTAATCACCATCAAAGTATTGTTCCAACTCATCCTGTTCCCTGATAGCAAGAGAATCATACTCTACGTTACCATCAACTTCACTGCAAAAAAAGCAATAGCAAAGTTGTCATGGTTTTCCAATTCAACACACAAGAAATTGATTTGGGCATTGGGTCAAGTTAAGCACCTAAATTAGTTTGCATAATAAGGATGTCGTGTTATTGGGACACTCTCACTTGTTGATTCATTTCATTTTCGTCTAACAATGTTGATGCCTGGTTTTCAATCTCATAATACATGTATATCAATTCAAAATTTCTGACAATGTTTAAACTCATCTAGATGTATCAAGCCATCTTAGAGTTATCCCACATTCTGATTGGTCCAATGTTCTTTCCATGCTCACCTGTAATCAAAATCCAGGTCTTTCCCATCAATAAACCTCTCCTGCATTGTCTGAATGAACTCTTGGCGTAAAAGCAACTTTTCACCATCTGATAGCTTACCATCCTTATTCTTTGTTTTCGTTTCTACAAATAAAATATTATGATTAAATGCACATTAAATGATCTCTTATTTAATACTTTTCATCACTTTTTTGGATTGTTTTTATTTCTAGAGAGCCAGTTGTACAAATATATGTTCTCTTCTAGCCCATTCATTTTCAGTTTAACGCTCGTCCCGGGAGTGTGGTCACCTGGTCATTTTTCCAAAAGTAATCCTTGCTTTTAACAATGCAATTAACCTCTGGGGATAATTTGCATTCAAGTTCAGTACTATTCTGGTCTTTACCTTGTTCTTCCTCCATTTCACTATCATCTTCATCATCATCATCATCATCATCCTCTTCTTCCATCTGACACTCCTAAAACACAATTTATCCAGATGTTCACACATATATTTGTTATCAATTAGGGTAGGCAGCCTACAATGAGTAATCTAGCTTATTAAATGACATATGGATTGAAAACTGGCATCATGGACAAAAATGTATTGTACAACATATAATATTTATTTCAACTTAAATCTAAGTACATGTATCTTTATCCTTTCACATTGTTATAGTAACAAGTAGTTTATAAAACACTTCATCAAATAAAAAGCATTTACTTCTTACCTCTTTATCACGCTGGAGCTCACGAATTGCTGATTCTTGTCTCATTTCCAAATGTTGAAGAATGATTGACGACATTCTCATATCTGTTTTATCTATCCCAGCACGCTCATTTATCTCATCATCGTCGAGATATTTCCCAATCATTTGTTCATATAACAGGGGATCTCTCATTTTCATAGAGTCTTCACTGAAATAGTCACTATTGGCCGTCATATCTTTCATGGCTTCATATCGCCGATTTGAAACCTTACGTTTGTTCAATTTGTCACTTTGCTGTTTGGGAATGTCTTTCAAGTAGAAATCAATGATGTAATCCCCTCGATATGGTTCAAAATAATCTAAATCTGATGGCTGGAGATATTTGCCAAATCGTGACAGAAATGTGCTGACATTTTTCTCAAGGATATCATTAGCAATGTCATATTTTTCTTTGTGCGTTAAATCAGGTTCATCCCTTTGTTGATGTTTAAAATGAGCATCTGTATTGGCTAATCTGTAAAGTATAGAATGTCTTAAGTTATCACTATTCCCTGCACATAAAAGTTCAGATGTTGTATCATCAATAGTCTTATCGTCAGGAGTATTCACTAAATCATTCATTTGGCTATCAGCTATGTCTGTATCTTCTTCAACTTTTCTTGTATCCTTCATTGTTTCATTGTTTTCTGGTTTTTCTTTTGTAACACCGGCATCACAATCCTTTTCAGTTGAGGATCCACCACTTGTTATATTCTCACTACTTGCATCCATGATAAATGATAAATAGTCGAGTCAGGTTTTGAAAACTTAAGATTACAGCTCTACATCTGAAATAATAGTAAATTTTGAAGTGAAAATATGGAACGGCCATTTAAGTCAATCTTTATGAGATATTATGATACGGTGTAATTTCTATGGAAAACAATAATTTTACAATAGTCTAGATTCCCGTAAAAATATGGTAGGTTGGAAGGTCTGAATTGTTACCATCATTTTATCCTACAAATTGTCATTTGTATAAAATATGTGCAGGGATAATTTATATTGAGAAAATGTAACTTTAAAATTACAATGTACAAATTGAATGTACAATAGGATGTATATATCGCAGCCCGAGCAGTACCAAAGACAATTCATTTGCAGTACTAAACCAAATCACAGAAATATGTGGAAAGTCACCCAAACACATGTTAGTAGTTGGAGATTTCAACCTACCACAGATTGACTGGGAAATCAAATCGGCGCTAAATGGACCAAATAAGGAAACTTCGGAATACCTGCTTGAAATAATTGATGACAACTTCTTGACCCAACACCAGATGAAAACCACACGAACCAGAACAGGACAACAAGGAAATCTACTAGACCTAGTACTTACAAATGAGCCAGACACAATAAGCAACCTAGAAAACAACCCACCGCTGGGGAGAAGTGATCACCACATGCTTTCTATGACTATAAACTGTGCACAAAAATTCACACCAAATGAGAAAAAGATACAACTTCTACAGAAAGCAGACTTCAAGAAAATGAGAAGTGATTTAAGTGTAGACTGGGAACAAATCTTCGAAGGCCAAACAACTGAAGAAAGCTGGTCAATATTCAAAACCAAATTAGAAGAAACCACAGAAAAACATATCCCCAAAATTACACCGGGAAAAAAGAGACAACCGTGGATAGATACAGAGTGTATGAAGGCGATAAGAACCAAACGGAAAGCTTTTAACAAGATGACACGAAAAAGGAAAGATGATACTCTGAATGAAGAAGATAAAAAGATATTTAGGAAAGCATGTAATCAAGCCAAGTCAGAAGTAAGAAAAGCCATAAGAAGATATGAAAAGAAAATGGCAAAAACGATAAAATATAATCAAAAACCATTCTGGAAATATGCCAACAATAAGAAAAAATCCAGAGTAGGAATCCCTGATCTTGATCGAAAGGATGGAACACAAACAAATTCAAACCTAGAAAAATCAGAAGTCCTTAACGAATTCTTCGCAGAAGTATTTACAGATGAGGACACTGAGAATATACCAGTCATAGACTACATATATATAGGGTCTTATATTACCAACTGGCATATAAGCGAAGGAGAAGAGACCCTTGAACTAAAAAATCTGAAAACCAACAAATCACCAGGACCGGACAAAATCAAAGGAATTATCCTCAAGGAACTAGCAGACACTATAGCCCATCCCCTCTATTTAATCTACAAGAAATCACTAGATGAAGGATACCTTCCACAAGACTGGAGACGAGCTAACATAACCCCTCTACATAAGAGCGGTTCAAAGTCAAGTCCTAACAACTACCGCCCAATAAGTCTCACATGTATTACCTGCAAAATACTTGAAAGCATCATCAGAAGGCAACTGATTGAACACCTGTACAAAAACAATCTCCTAAATACAGCCCAACATGGTTTCCTGCCAAATAGGTCTTGTACAACTAATCTTCTGGAAATAGTTGAAGCATGGTCAAATCTACTAGATACAGGGGGCGCTACTGATGCTATTTATCTTGATTATGCCAAGGCGTTTGATTCCGTGCCCCACCAAAGACTCCTACTCAAACTGGAAAGAAATTTTGGAATTAGGGGTAAATCTCTGATGTGGCTCTCGCACTTCATCCAACATAGAGAACAACGAGTAGTTATAAATGACATATCAGCACCATGGACCCCTGTACAGTCAGGAATAGCTCAGGGATCTGTAATTGGACCTTTGATCTACCTACTGTATGTCAACGACATGCCAAACGTTGTTAAACACAGTAAAATAAGCCTGTTCGCTGACGATACTAAACTCCATAGAAAAGTTAACTCCATAGATGATCAAACTTTACTACAGAGAGATATTGACAATGTTCAAAAATGGACTCAAGATTGGCAATTAAAATTCAATACTAAAAAATGTGGCGTACTACATATTGGAAGAAGTAACAGGAATTTCGACTACCTGATGAAAGACAACAACTCAGACCAGAAATCTACAATTAGACATAGTAACTGTGAAAGAGATCTTGGAGTTTATATGGATACAAATCTCAAATTCAGTAACCATGTCAAAACCATAGCAAACAATGCAAACAAAGTGCTTGGAATGGTAAAAAGATCTTTTACATACTGGGACACTGATACATTTAAATTACTATTCAATGGCTTAGTCAGACCCAAACTTGAGTTTGCACAATCAGTGTGGAATCCCTACATGAAGAAGGATATAGAAGCCCTAGAGAAAATACAAAGAAGAGCAACGCGTATAGTTCCAACACTTAAAGCTCTACCCTACCCCCAGAGACTAAAGGCACTAGACCTTACAACACTTGCCTACAGACGACTACGTGGTGATATGATAGAGACGTTCAAATACATCAACTCATACTATGATGTCAACACAACAGCAACATTACCTAATTTCCAAGCAAGAAAAACACACAATAGAAGAGGAAATTCCCAACTACTCCTAAAAGCCCACTGCAAAACCTCAATGAGACAAAACACTTTCAGCCACAGGGTAACAAACAATTGGAACAGTCTCCCAGAGTACGTAGTGCAGTCAGTCCATGTCAACCAGTTCAAGAACCGCCTAGATGCACATTGGTATCACCATCCTTTAAAATTCAATTACGAAATTGCTGGCGTACAAGTAGCCCCCAAGCTACGTTAGTTTCAAAAAGTATCAGAACTGTCATACAGGCAATGTCTGCCTAGGACGGAAAATTACTTATAAACTTATAAACTTATAAACTATGTTCTCAACATTCATTGGTATGGTTTTGTAGATAGAATTGAATTTCATTTTTCAATTTGTTTTATAATTTTTGATTGAATCATTCATTCACTCACTTCAGTATAATCCTTACCTACACTTTATATTACTGTTTATAATTCAGACGGAAAAATATGCAAAATAACTCGATATTTGGGTGTCAAAAACACTGAAATGTAGAAGTTTTCATATTTGTTTAATTTTTCATGGAGGCTGACATTTTCCTTTGAATGACCAATCATATTTTCTCTATCTTTAAGTTTTTAAAATAAACCAATCAAAGTACAGGTCTTAAATCGTTTTGGCAAGTGTTACAAAACTCCAACTTTTTATTTCGACAAACAAATTTTAGGATTTTAAGATAACGTATGCTAGTCTGCAATAATCTAATACCACATACTCAAAATAAAATATGGCAGACATCACAAGTCAAGAAATGGTAGACGAAGGAGCCGAGAAACGGGTAAGATTTATGAAGTGCAAAATTCATCACCTATTATCGCCCAATAGTCAGAATTCTACCTCTTTCAAATCCAGATAAGGAAGTTAGTGCACTTTATACTGCTATATCACTGTTCTGCAGCTCCACAGCTGAATGGCTCTAACTGCAGTTAGCTTCATTCAAGATGTTTGCCGAAATTCTTTCGTTTTCGATAAACCTCCGATTTCGTCTATTTCCAAACACCCCCATCAAAAAATGTAGTTAACTTGGCTGTACTGCACATCTGTAGAATAATTTTATATATGTTATATGAATTAGACGCTGTATAATGCATTTGCAAAAAATAACTCGATAAAAGGCAAAAGCAAAAGGCTATACATCAGCCTACAAGCCGGTGCTTATCTTATCTAAATTGTCAAAAAATCTGGGTTATACCACTTTAAATTCAATGTATTTGAGGGGGGTAAATCCAAACAGGAGATTTTCAGGGGGTAATTCCAAACACTAGCATGGGGATAATTCCAAACACTTAACTAAACTTCATTGTTTTACTTGTTAGATAGATGGTATATGGTACCCTGAAGTAATGATACTGGACGCTGACACCCCTGTATATCAATAACCCCAAATATAATTGATTTATAAGTGACATCTATTTATTTTAAGGCATAGGGTTTGTGGGGGTAATTCCAAACACTAGCATGGGGGTAATTCCGATCACCTAAATCATCATAATTTATTATTTTATCGTTAGAGTGTTGGTATATATCATTATATGGTATCTTTCAGGATATAAATGTTATATAGAGGTAGTAGAGGGGCTATTATTCAATTCAATGATTTGCTTGCCATTGTTTGCAACCCATTCGGGTTTACCCCCCTGTTTGGATTTAGACTTATTGACTATTCTGTGAATCAGTTCATATGGTTAAAATAACGATAGAATTAGCTTGTTCTATGTCATTCATGTTACATTGTGGAACTCAGCCAATATATGATTCCTGTCTTGCATATTTTGTGTTTTTATTTTACAGAAACTGATGATATTTGGCAGAAATGTTGCAGAGATACCATGTTTTAGAAAGGCATTCTTAACAGGAATAACTAGCGGGATAGCTTCTTCCTTAGTTTATTTTGTATTTACCAGTAAGTAAAGTCTCTTGAGTGGTCTTTTTTATTTTAGAATTGTAAAAATATTGCATGAAATCATTTTTTCACTAAGGAATGGTTTTCATATGTTGAAAAATTAAGGTAGGTTTGTTAGATTGGAGGGTGTTAATGCTGATTTTTTGTTTGTTATTGTTTATTTTCAAGGAAATAACAAATCAAATTCATACTATTAAGGGGGTATATGGGTTAAATCATAATAAAATTAACATTTACTAACTGTTTTTTCCACAATTGTCAACATTTCAACACAATTCCTAACTTGATACAGCTTAAAGATATATGCATCATAATCATGATTTCATAGTATACTATTCTATACTACTAATAAAATGTAAATAATCTGATATCATGAAGTAGATGTCATTGCTTTAGTTTGCTCATTATACATATGTACCATGCTTATAAACTTTGATTTATATTTGCCAGGTAATACAAAGAAAGCAACCAAAGTTGGATTGTTCACCTTCCCCATTGTGACTATGGCAACATTGTGAGTTAATTTTATTCTTTATTCATGAAAATAAACAATACACAAAAATCTGAATAATGTACATCCCTTAGTATTTCTATGCCTATTGGCCCCCTCTCAAACATTTCACCACTGGAGAAAAGTAGATAATGGAGGGGTCCAGACTCCAAAAGCTTTAAGTGAGACTACATTCATGTAAATATATGTACATATTGTGTAATATGTAATATTATTGAAACACTTCTGAAGATGAAATATAGAAAAATATGTAAATGATGTATCTAGTTTTTTTAAACAGAACCAGTTGCTATCCAGTGAACATAATATAGTTTGTGTGGGAGCCTCCCCCAGTATTGGCTGTGTAGGGGGGGGGGGTCACAGCGCAAATTGAGACCCTGTATATCAATTTTGATGTGTTTCTCTTACAGCACTGTCTGTAGATATAATCTCGCAGTACTGAGGATGGAGCATCGGAAGTTGAAAAACGCAATCGAACATACTCGACAAACAGTTAAAGCTACAGACGTTCAGATTCAACAGACTGCTGATATAAACAATACTGAAACAAATACATACAATGATAACAAACATGAGGATCCATCTTGATAGTGATTTTGCATTGGAAGTTATTTTATTTAACTTAATAAACGCCTTGGTGGAGTGAAATACAACATGGAGCATTGAAAGTCACACTCTAAGTTAACTACATGAACAAAACCTGGTCCAATGCATGGCATCCTCCTAAGCAGGTGTCCAGAATCTGTACCTCCTTGTTGCCCTCTGCTATAACCTATTTGGAAGTGTCCGATTTAACTGAATCACGTGATCTAATTATGCGCAATGACTTATAAGTGATTTCTGTCGCAGTGTTGTGACAGCCAATCAGATTGCGAGTTCTTAATCGGGGAAATGCTAACTGCTTATCGCAGGGGGTAAAAAGAAAGAATATATTCTGGATTTTGAAGCCCTGTGATCGGAGGATGATACATGGACATTGAAAATGTATATAAAATGTTGTTGATCACATAAAAGATGTCACTGTTGCATTCAACACCTTCCATGAAATAAATGTACATTTATTGAAGTAAAGCAAGTTATTTCATATCAAAATGTGAATAAAGTAGAATAGCCTAACAGCTTTTGCTAGGAAAAAAGATAGAAGATGCTCAAGTGATGCAGTCTTTCTATTTTTAGAGTAAAACAGCAAAACAAGTTTCATTGAATTTAATATAATTATAAAGTTATTAATAGATGGAATGAAATGCAAAATTGTGCAGTAATTGGTGTTTTTAAAGATATGTGACAAACAAATAAAATGATATGATGTTGAATATTTTGTTTCTTTTCTGCTGTTTATATGATATGTCAGTCTTGTCCCCTGACTGTGTACTTCGTGTTTTCACCTCGTGTTGGGATGGTGAAGTGCATGGGGGTACACAGTCTTGAAGATATGCATGTATTAATATTTCTGATTGAAAACTAATGAATGAACGTATCATATGTTCCCAGGATGGAATGGGAATCAGAGATTAACTCATAAAAGTTGAAACAAATCTTCAATAAACATGAATATGTGATTCTTACAATTTAATATGGGAGCCCAGGCATTTAAGGTTCAGAATTGTCCATACTAGTATTTAAAAGAAATAAAAAGGACGTTGACTTCAGAAATAATTTAAAGTCAACCTTGAAAATCATATTATAAAAGGCATATCTTAAAAAAAAATAGTTTGACAACAAACACAAACTCATTTTACTTTTCTTAAAGTTGTGTTGATCATGTTTGGCGTTTTTGAAGTTACTCTGATCATGTTTGGCGTTCTTAAAGTTGTATATATTAACCGTGTTTGACGTTCTTAAAGCATTGATCGTATATGGCGTTCTTAAAGTTGGTTGATTGTTTTGCTTTATTGAAGTCGTGTTTGATACGAGCCGAAAATATTTTTACGTCAAATCTGATTACACCTTTACGCATTCGTACATTGTTGAATTCGCATTGATCGTGGCTTTCTTGAAGTTACATTGATCGTGTTTGACGTTCTGGAAATTGCAATGATCGTGTTTGGCGTTCTTAAAGTTGTACTAATCGTGAGTTGTGTTTGGAGTTCTTAAATTCTTATTGATTGTGTTTGGCGTTCTCGAAGTTACCTTGATCGTGTGTGGCGTTCTGGAAGTTGCATTGACCGTGCGTGGCGTTCTTAAATTTGCATTGATCGTGTTTTTCTTTCTCGAAGTTGTATCTGTCTCAGGTTGTATTTATCGTGTTAGCGTTATTGAAGTTTTGATCGCTGTTTAACGTTCTGGAAGTTGGAGTGATCGTGTTTGGAGTATTGATCGTAGGGATCTTAAATCGTTCAAAGGTTCGTTTAAATTATTGCAAACAATTTCAGACGGTTATATCTTGAATTATAGCTATTATCTTTATATTATCTTTTAGATCATTTATCATCTCAAAGAAAAGTATATACAATGATAAAGTCAATCAGACTCGGGGATATTTAGCTCGCAATCCACGTGATCAACCCTTCCAGCATACTTTTTCAAAGATGATGACCTCATTTTCACCAAAAATGCAATCATTTTTACAATGTTTAATGCATTACTATTCTTTATTTTGACGTATCAATTAGTTCTTAAAACAAAAATTGAATTCCTTTGAGACTGGTGTCCCCCATATTATTTCCGTTGAAAAAGCTCATGCTATTCATTGGTTTCAGCTAATTTTGGTCATCCAAATTCAGTCCCTGGAGAAATCCACTTTTCTTTTCAGGAAATAGAACATGTCTCAAAGCACATTATAATTATGCATTCAACATTATGATAAAAGGTTGCATTTTTAATGAAAATTGAATTTTTATTCTTTGGATAGTCTCGAAGCCGTTGAACTGATCATGTGTGGTATTATGGAAGTTACATTGTACTTGAAGTTGCATTGATCGTGTTTGGCGTTCTTAAAGTTGCATTGATCGTGTTGGCGTTCTTAAAAGTGCCTTGATCGAGCCTTTGGCGTTCTTAAAGTTGCATTGATCGTGTTTGGCGTTCTTAAAGTTGCATTGATCGAGTTTGGCGCTCTTAAAGTTGCATTGATCGTGTTGGCGTTCTTAAAAGTGCCTTGATCGAGCCTTTGGCGTTCTTAAAGTTGTGTCGATCGTGTTTGACGTTCTTAAAGTTGCATTGATCGAGTTTGGCGTTCTTAAAGTTGCATTGATCGTATGTGGCGTTCTGGAAGCTGCATTGATCGGTTTGGCTTCTTAAAGTTGCATTGATTGAGCCTTTGGCGTTCTTAAAGTTGTGTTGATCGTGTTTGACGTTCTTAAAGTTGCATTGATCGAGTTTGGCGTTCTTAAAGTTGTGCTGATCGTGTTTGACGTTTTTGAAGTTGCATTGATCGTGTTTGGCGTTCTTAAAGTTGCATTGATCAAGTTTGGCGTTCTTAAAGTTGCATTGATCATGTGTGGCATTCTGAAAGCTGCTTTGATAGGTTTTTTTTAAAAGTTCATTGATCGTATCTGCCGTTCTGTGTTTGACGTTCTTAAAATTGCATTGATCCTGTTTGCCGTTCTTAAAGTTGCATTGATCGTATTTGGCGTTCTGGAAGTTACCTTGATCGGTCTGGGGTTCTTAAAGTGGTATTGGCAGTGTTTACCGTTCTTAAAATTGTATTGATCAATTGTATTGGTCCCTCGGGTAGATATATTGTATTTCCCTCAGATATACCCTGTATCAAAAACCTCCCATTAATAACCTCTGTGTATTTACTATGTGGTCTGTGTCTTTGTAATATGGTTGTGATTTAGTGAAGGCGCACTTGTGAACCAGTCAGTGCGATGTTCTAATTCTAATTGTATTGGATATGCTTATAGCAGTGAGTACAAATCTCAATATGGTTTAGTTCCTACTCAGCAGTGCATCCAGATTGCAGTGTTCCTAAGAGATTGTGGTATGGCTCTCACTCAGATATGCTCAGAATGTCACCAGAGTCTAAATTTCACTTTGTCTGCTGTGTTGGCTCCACAACCCATCTGATTCTGAATGCAACAGTCGCCCCCTTGAGAAAGCTTTCGGCCTGGGTTGTCCGAGTTGTGTGACATGGATTGTACCGTGAAAAATGCACATCAAAAGTTGCAGAATGCACGGACCTCTGCCAGATTCCTCCCATTGGTCTCAAAGCTCAATAAATATATCTGGCTCGGGGTCCGTGGCACAATGTCCATTGGCTACATGTGATTGTGCTGAGTATGCAATTGCAGATCCAATGTTTTCAATATTTGGCGTGTCATGAGACTCCACATTAAAGAGCAGAATTTAAAATGTTAAAAGTGCTCTGCTTTTCTTGCCAACATTTGTGCTGATATCTAAAGGATTAGTGGAAATAAAAGCATTAATCAATCATAATATGGATAATGAATAGACGTAATCACATTCCAGATAAAAGAAAGTCGCCATACATTAGCGTAAATTGGAAAAAATCATTTGTAAAGCAGACACCAAAATAATTTATTCGCGCTGAAAATCAAGTGAATGTTTTCATAGAGACAGGGATTTGAAGTGTTTTGCTGACAGATCAGGAGTGTGCATTATAATAAAGGTATATACTATCTTTTAATGATAATACTAAAACAATGTCCCTCATATTTCATGAGACTGCCTGTTTGTTTCTTTGGCTTACAAAGTGAAGATGAAATGTAAAGATGCTTTGGCAACCAGACAGATTCAAATCTCTCTGTGCTCTCTCATGGGCTTAAGTTCTTCTTCTTCTTCCTTTAGGTTTCTGTGTCTGAAACCATTGGCACTTTAATGCTGCCTTTAGACACTTGCTACAGTTTGTCACTTGTATTAAAATTATTGTCACTGGTGCTTTTCACTTACAGTGCTGATATATAATAATTACGAAGTGTCTGGAGTACCTTAAAATTTAAGGCTCTTTAGCCAAAATTAAGGCTATTTAGCTGTGAACATAGTGTTTTGGCTAGAGAGCCTTTGTGTTTATAATCCGTGTTTATATTGTTTTTTATTGAAGTTTTCGTCATCTAAACAATAAAACAACACTCTGGAAAGTTTTTCAACCCAGAATGCCACTTAAAAATTTCACACATGTATATCACTAAAGAGTTGTAAAAAATTTGGCCCCATCGTGGAATAACACTCTGGTATAGTGGTTAGGGTGCTCGCTTTCCACTTCTGCGGTGTGGGTTCGATTCCCCGACGAAGCACTTTTTATTTTGAATAACAAGCCAGAAGTTTGTTCTCCGCCCGGTTCTCTGATGTCCGGAAATTATGTACACAATCTTTTCTAGAATTCTTGGGCTTGCTCCATCGCTCAATCATCAATGTTTAATGAAATTAATCACTTGTATCGGCTTTTGCTATAGTCACGAGAATACAGGGAATCCCATTTTAAGATGGCAAAAAGTATGATGAAGACCTGGGGATGAAAAAGGATCTTGTTTCTTCTAGATCAGCACATCTTGACGCAGTTTATTGTGAATGCAGGGACATCACAGAATACACTTCCAAATCTATTGCCCATTAGATTTCAATGCTGATTTTAGAATTTTTCACGTGACGAGATATTTTTGAATCTTCCTCAGACTGAGAATTTAAGCATATGAGACAGCACAAAGAAAATTTACAGTACAAGAGGTGAACTGTCGAGGAAACAGCGGCTTATGCAACACAAACATTTTT